TACGTAATTTGCCTCACCCTCCCCTCTGCTTGCAACCAATAACCCCCCCAACCTTATGATAATGCCTGTTTGTAAGAGATGACTCCTACACTTGTGATTAAGCATCCTGTGACACGCTTCCCTTCCCCAAGATAGATTACTGATCTCTACCCTTGCGGTCATGCATCCCTTGATGCCCTTCCCCTCCCTAAAATACATTACCACCTTTAACTGACCACTTGCCCCAACCTATAAAACCAACTTTTTTTTTTTTTTTTTGAGACGGAGTTTCGCTGTTGCCCAGGCTGGAGTGCAATGGCGCGATCTTGGCTCACCGCAACCTCCGCCTCCCGGGCTCAGGCAATTCTCCTGCCTCAGCCTCCCAAGTAGCTGGGGTTACAGGCACACACCACCATGCCCAGCTGATTTTTTGTATTTTTAGTAGAGACGGGGTTTCACCATGTTGACCAGGATGGTCTCGATCTCTTGACCTTGTGATCCACCTGCCTCGGCCTCCCAAAGTGCTGGGATTACAGGCTTGAGCCACCGCGCCCGGCCTGGGTTGTTTCTAATCTCTGGGAAGTAAACGCATTGCCCAACGTATTGCTGACCACTTGCCCCAACCTATAAAACCAACTTTTTTTTTTTTTTTTTTTTTTGAGACGGAGTTTCGCTGTTGCCCAGGCTGGAGTGCAATGGCGCGATCTTGGCTCACCGCAACCTCCGCCTCCCGGGCTCAGGCAATTCTCCTGCCTCAGCCTCCTAAGTAGCTGGGATTACAGGCACGCGCCACCACGCCCAGCTAGTTTTTTGTATTTTTTTTTTAGTAGAGATGGGGTTTCACCATGTTGACCAGGATGGTCTCGATCTCTCGACCTCGTGATCCACCTGCCTCGGCCTCCCAAAGTGCTGGGATTACAGGCTTGAGCCACCGCGCCCGGCCTTAAAACCAACTCTTATCCAACTGCCCTCTGCTGACTCTCTTTTCGTACTCAACCCACCCTCACCTGGGTGAATAAACAGCCATGTTACTTACACAAAGCCTGGTGTGTATCTTTACTTGAGTGATGCGCCTAACAGTAGGTACCAATAAAACACCTTCCCTTCTAATTCTCATTATTTGCATTTTTAATTGACAAATAATAATTGCACATATTTATGAGGCCCTTCTACTTTCTTAGCCTAGATGACTATGTCAAAGAATAAAATGGTTTAATTTCATTTCCTTTTCCTATTCTTGGTAAGATGCTACTACTTAACCTAGAGCTCTAAACACTCACCTTATCCCTTATCCAACAGATTCCTTGCTTTCCCCATCACTCCTTTCTTTCCTCTACCACATATTTTTAGCTAGAGAGCTTCTTCCTCCCCTTGCCCTCTATCTACCTGTCACCTATGCTCCCTTCCATCCACTTTGTATCACCTGGCTTTTCCTAAATGTTGGTGCGTACACAGATGTACTGCTATATTCTTGGGTGTAATGTACAAGGCACAACTGTAAAACAATGGCATTGTTCTTCCAGAACACATGTAATTAAGTGCTGATGTCTTCCAGTACTCACCTTAAAGGTGACACAATTTTTAACTCACAATATATTTTATGAACTGAAGAAAACCTAAATACATACTCCATACTCTTATTCTTAAAATTTCTTCGAAGTCATAAGAATATATCAGCTTTATTAGTTAAGAAAATAATTTGATGACCACTTGCCAAGTGCTAAGCACAAGTCTTAGAATGCAACAACCCTATGAAACGAGGAGCCTTTTAAATTCAGTTGAACCACAAGAAATTGTCTTTCTGTAAGTGAAAATATGCACTGCTCACATTTTCAAAAACTAACCCCAAGGTCACACAGTAGTTAACTGCAAAGTCACAACCCAACACAATCTCTAACCATGACAGATTTTTAATCCATGTTCAAAATAGGAAAGACATGCCTCTACAGCAGTTTGTGAATGAAATAAATTAAGATGGAAAAAACTTTCCCAAAGAGCTTTTGGTTGATAACAAGTTCAACAGGCAGTAATTCTAGGCCAAGGTTCCAAATAAGTTGATGTAAAATCCTGTAAAATCGGAAATACTGGGTCTGTCTAGACACACACAAAAAAGAGAATAGTATTGTACTTGTCACTAGTCAGCTATTGACAAGTTATGTCATTTTGGTTACTAATCTGAGACCTAAGCCTCTTTTCCATAAAATGAAATTTGCTCTCGACCTTTATCTCAGTGATGGCATGGGTTTAAAATAACTTATGAGAAGCCAGAAGCGGTGGCTCACTTCTGTAATCTCAGCTCTTTGGGGGGCCAAGGCAGGTGGATCACTTGAGGTCAGGAGTTCTGTACCAGCCTGGCCAACATGGTGAAACCCAGTCTCTACTAAAAACACAAAAATTAGCTAGGCATGGTGGTGGGGGGCCTGTAATCCCAGTTAATTGGAACGCTAAGGCAGGAGAATCGCTTGAACCCTGCAGGCGGATGCTGCACTGAGCCGAGATTACACCACTAGCACTCCAGCCTGGGCTACAAAGTGAGACTCTATCTCAAAAAAAATTAATAATTACGAACATCAGCAGCATGTTTGAAACAAATGCAAAAGGAACATAAGACCTTATTCTTGGATGTTTCCAGTGAGATAGAGGGACAAATTCCATTCAAACTGTCATTATTTGAATAGACTAATATTCAATTCCAATGTAGACCCCATGCCAGGCTGCTCCTAGGAGTGACCCCAGGGGCTTCCTGGGGAGAAGTGCTTAACTACTGTGACTTCCACCAAAGAGTCTCAGTCTCATCTTTACATCAGTATTTAAGAAAACATCAAAAGGGTAAACTTTTCCTCCACCTCCCTCTTCAGTCCAGCCCCATGCACTGTGTATATGCACATAATGATACCAAAACAGTTCAATGAAACTCCTTAAAATTTTCAGCTGTCTGCCCTGGGGCAGTTCTGTGGAAAAAAAAAAAAAAAAAAAAAAAAAAAAAAAAAAAAAAAAATTCACCTGTCAAGTTTTGATAGCTGGCTACGAGACCCATAAGGGTAAGAGCAATTTTAACTTTTCCTAGGGAGTAAGCTGGGAGCATAGAAGGCCGAAGGGTACTCTTAGTCGAGATACAAAAATTACAGCTCACTCCTTCACTTAGTCTACTGACTGTGAAGTTCAATTTTCCTCAAGAGTATTCTATGGCAGACTTCAACCACCAGGTGGCACAATTTTAGAAAATAAATCAATCAGCGGGCGCTATATTAACTCTAGTATAAAGAAAATGGGTAAGCATTCTAATAACGCACTTCATCAAATCTATAATCACGGGGGAAAACCGTGTATCTTAATGCCAGTTGGCTTTTCTTTCGAAAGACTTTCCTGTTGTGCGACTGGACAGGAAATTTACACTACAGTCGTAATTTCTAACGTTATTTCAAAAGCAAAAAACAAGGCCATAAAAGCCTGTTGTTCAGAGTCTGAAAAATCTGTTCTCCAGAAAAAAACTATCCACAGAGAGCTGGCCTGTAATCCCAGCTGCTCAGGAGGTTGAGGCACGAGAATCACTTGAACCCAGGAGGTGGAGGTTGCAGTGGGCCGAGATCACGCCACTGCACTCCAGCCTGGGCAACACAGCAAAACTCCATCTCAAAATAAAATAAATTAAAATATAAAAAATAACAAACATATATTTTAAAGCCTACATTTCGGCCCTAGTATCAGTTAAATAATTATTTTTCAACTTTTCAAACTATGAGCCGTACCGCAGAAGAGGTAGCAGACGGTCAGAGACTGCCTCCCTTACCCACTTCGAGTTAGCGCAAAGGGACCAATTCTCAAGCGATGCCACTGAGAAAGGGACTGGCGCTGGCAATGTAGACCCCGTGCCAGGCTGCCCCTGGGAGTGACCCCAGGGGCGGCCTGGGGAGGAGGATTTAACTACTCTGACTTCCACCAAGGAGTTTGAGTGAATGCGCCCTCGCAGCTTTCCCTGAACAAACATTACCAAAGGGCCCAGCACTCTGCTCCGTGAATTTCAGAGGAAAATATCGTCCGAACATCTCAAGGAACGTAGAGGCTCGTGAGGCAGCATTCTTGCAAAAGCACGTGGTAAACACCCAAACGATGTCTGCTGAATGTTGAATTCATGAGTCTCAGAAACTGACAACTAGTTCAAGCCTCTACGCAGTAGGAAAAGGATGAAAAATAAACTCATTTTAAATCAACTCAACAAGTGCAAAAGCCACGATTGAGAAGAGAGGAGACATAAGAGGCATCACAAGGTAATTCCTTTGTCCTCAAAAACTTCCCCGCCTTTAAGGTTTTAAATGAAGACTTCCAAAACTAATTTACTTAAGACTCTACATAAAACCCGCGATCTTTAAACCCAAGAGAAGAAAGATCAATGTCTTGCTTTCATGAAAAAAAAAAAAAAAAAAAAAAAAAGGACTGAAGGGGAAACAAGAGTGAAGGGTACTGACGGGGCTCTTAGGGTTCTCCCATCACAGAGCCAACTTTCATCGCAGCTGAAACGTGTTTGAACGGCTCCCGTTTTCTACCCGCAAATTCTCAACTGCTATTTAAACAACAACAGTTTACTGAGCGCTCATGCTGTCAAACTCTGTTGAGGGCTCCGTTCCTCAAAGCCGAGTGATGGGCTGTGCCCGTTTGACAGGCGAAGCAGCCTCGGCTCCGGGAGGGGAGGAGCGCGCCCAAGGTCGGCCAGTGAGCGGCAGGCGGATTGGAACCCCGAACGACACCCAGGGCCTGTCTCGGCCACCGGCGTCTCCCCCAGAGGGCGCCCAGCCACTCCACCCGCAGCCTCCCCAGCGCAGGAGCCCGGCTGTGGGCCTGAGGGCGCCGGGTCTCCCCGGTCCTAACTCCCCGGGCCGGCGGGAGGCAGGAAGGGGCTCGGTAGGGCGCGCCGTCCGGGGACCTGAGGAGGGACAACGGACCGTGCTCGGAACCGCCCGGACTCCCGAGACTCACCGGACTCGCGGCCACACCGGCAGGGCCGAAGCGGAAGTCACCGATGAACACGCCCGACCCGAACGCAGGCTACCAGGGAGTCGAGGACTGGACCGCTCTCCAAGCGGCGAAAGCCGGGGACGCTCTACACCGCTGTCCTGGCTCCCCACCCCCGCCGCCCGCGGCCCTCAAGGCGCCTGCGCCGCCCGGCCTGGACAAGCCCATTTCTGTGGGCCCTGGGGGGAAGCACAGCGAGTCCACTGAGGCACGGCGCACCCTGCCGAGGGTCTAAGCCACAAGCCGAGCACACAAGCCGGGCTCAAGGAGCCTAAGTGCAAGTCCGCTACTGGTGCACGACTGTACACTTCTAAGAAGAGCGGAGTGGGGTCTCCGCAAGCTTCGCTTCAGTCGCTCCCCCGTGCAGTTCCCTGTGCCCAACACGCTGCCCGAAGCTCGAGCTCCGGTGGGCGGGGCTTGGAGGCAGCGGGAACTGCAATTGGTAGCTTTGAAGGCGCGGCGGGCGGGAACGGCAGCGGAGGAGTGAGACGGCGGGAGATGTGGGTCGGTAAGAGAGCCGCGGGCGGCCGTGGATCGGGTCCCGGAGGGTGCCAGGGCGTTGAGGAAGCCAGATCCCAGGCCTCGGGGGCGGCTTTCTGAGGCTTGCCGCACGTTGTGAGGCGCAGGATTGGCGCCGGGTCTCGGGCTCGGGGCGGGGAACTGCGGTAGGGGCCGCAGTGAAAGGGGGCGGTGACGCTGGGCCGGCCGTGGCGTCACCTCGCCCGCGGTGGGGCGGGGCTGAGCCTTCCGTCGGCGTGTGTCTGCGTCAGAGACCGGCCGCGTGGTCATGTGGCCCGGGACTCCGCGTTCTCAGCCTGGGGTTGTTGCCTGGCCCAGGGTTGGGGTTTTGCTTTCCTGTCACCTCGGCTTCCGTCGTTTTTCGGCTTTGTAGCCTCTTGCGTGGCTCCTCGCGCTGCCTGCTTAAAAGGGGTCTGTTGGATCATGCGTTCCACAAATCTTGAGCATCTACTTATGCCAGGCACTAAAGCGCTGAGAAGTACAAAGAAAGTTTAAAAATGGGGCCTGGCGCGGTAGTTCACGCCTGTAATCCCGTCACTTTGGGAGGGCGAGGCAGGCCGATCACCTTAGAGGACGGGAGTTCGAGACCAGCCTGGCCAGTATGGTGAAACCCCGTCTCCACTAAAACTACAATAATTAGCCGGGCGTGGTAGTAGGTGCCCGTAATCCCAACTGCTTGGGAGGCTGAGGCAGGAAAATTGCTTGTACTAGGGAGGCGGGGGTTTCAGTGAGCCGAGATCACACCACTGCACTCCAGCCTGGGCGACAGAGTGAGACTCTGGCAAAAAAAAAAAAAAAAAAAAAAAAAAAAAGCTGGGCGCAGTGGCTCACGCCTATAATCCCATAATCCCAGCACTTTGGAAGGCCGAGGCAGGTGGATCACGAGGTCAAGAGAGGTCAAGACATCGAGCCCATCCTCGTCAACATGGTGAAACCCCGTCTCTACTAAAAAAAATACAAAAATACAAAAATTAGCTGGGCATTGTGGCGCAGGCCTGTAGTCCCAGCTACTCGGGAGGCTGAGGCAAGAGAATTGCTTGAACCCAGGAGGTGGAGGTTGCAGTGAGCCGAGATCGCGCCATTGCACTCCAGCCTGGGTAACAGAGCAAAACTCCGTCTCAAAAAAAATAATAATAATAATTTTAAAAATGGTGAGTGGGGTAAGCGTTTACTGAAGGGATTTCCAGCTTCATTGGTGAGACTGAGTACGCTCCAAATTTCTTTAGACAGGCGTTCTGCAAACTTTACCCAGAATTATCTGATGTTCTCTTTAAAAGATGCGAAATCTCCAGCCCTCCATATCCCGTCCTCACGGTTTAACTTGATAGGGCCCAGCAGTCTTCATTTTAACAGCCTTGCATGTGTGTGTGTGTTTTTGTTGTTGTTGTTTGAGATGAAGTCTCACTCTCGCCCATGCTGGAGGGCAGTGGCGCTATCCCGGCTCACTACAATCTCCTCCCGGATTCAAGCAATTCTCCTGCCTCAGTCTCCCGAGTAGCTGGGACTGCAGATGTGTGCCACGACGCCCAGCTAATTTTTGTATTTTTAGTAGAGACGGGATTTCACCATGTTGGCCAGGATGGTCTGGAGTGCCTGACCTCAAGTGATACACAGCGCCTGGCCCCTCGCCTATGTTCCTAATGGGAGAAGCTTTGACTTGATGTTTCACTTACTGCTGAATCCCAGTCAGCCCAGGTTGTCTCCTCAGGCATTCATTCCACAAGTATTTATCAAGGACGCATTAGACTGTGCTTGGGCTGACTAGACATAATTGACTATAGTGACGCAGTTCTGGATTCTAGGAGCATAGCTGTAAATAAAAACACCATCCTGCGCTAGAGCTCAACTTTAGAAACAAGAAAATAAAAAAGATAACTTCAGATAGTTCTGTAAAGGCAATTAGTAGAGGATAGCCTGGTACAGTGGCTCACGCCTGTAATCCCAGCACTATTGGAGGCCAAGACAGGAGAACCACTTGAGACCAGGAGTTCAAGAACAGCCTGGCTAACATGGCGAAACCGCATCTTTACTAAAAGTAGCTGCGCATTGTGGTGCAGACCTGTAATCCCAGCTACTCCAGAGGCTGAGGCAGAAGAATCATTTGAACCTAGGAGGCAGAGGCTGCAGGAGGCTGCAGTGAGCAGTACACTCTAGCCAGGGTTACAGAGCAAGACTCTGTCTTAAAAAAAAAAAGGCCGGGTACGGTGGCTGACCCATGAGTTCCCTCTGAAAAGGGTATCCAGAATCTGACCTCTTCCCCTGCCTCGCTAACCTCCAGCTTCTGCTCTCGCCTCCTTAGACTACGTCAGTACAGTAGCCAGATTGATCCTGGTAGAAAAGCTAAACAAGAGCATGTCCAGCCCATGCTCAGCACCTTGCAGAGTAAAACAAGCAGTGATCCCCTGAGTGGCTTTCAGGGCCCTCCACGATCCCTCATCTCACCTCCTCTATGCCTCCTTCCTCTCCCTGCTGTCCCCTCACTGGAGCCACCCCTGTCCCTTTTCCTTGAAGGCCCCAAGCAGGCTCTTGCCTCAGGACTTTTGCCCATGGTGTTCCTTCTGCCTAGAAAGCTCGTCCACACATGGCTGCTTGTCCTGCAAGGATTGTCCCAAAGTCGTATTCTCTCCAGCACCTCCACCCTCAACTCAGCCTGCTTAACATGATTCCATTTTCTCCTGCACTCTTCACTTTTGTGGTTTCCATGTTGTTTCTCTCTCTCCTTCACTAGAATGGACACGATATACTGGAACAGATAATTGTTTTTTTGGCCAAAGACATAATCTATTCCCAGTGCCTAGAAAAGTGCCTGGCATGCATAAGTAAGGCGTTACATGAATCAGTGAATGAATGAATGATTTATAGATCATCACCATCAAAAGATCAAAATACTCTAGCCAAGAAATGAGAGACAGCACCAATTTTTAAACTCTAAAGCATTTAAATATACAATTGAAGGAGAAAATAAATGCTCACGCTGAAACACTGCAGAATGGCTGGAAAAGGATAAATCAACATTTAGGTGTTTGACCTACACATCAAAATCCCAGTTAAATATGATGCTAATGGCTGGGTGCGGTGGCTCATGCCTATAATCCAAGCACTTTGGCAGGTTGAGGGTGGGTGGATTGCTTGAGTCTGAGAGTTCAAGACCAACCTGGGCAATGTAGTGAGACCCTATCTCTCTTTTTCATGTGTTGTGTATGTGTAAATAAAGATAGACAAGTTTTGTATTTGGTTAATACTTTGCTGTGCTACTTTTGCTTCATTAAAGTGCCAAAGGGATGGATGAGACTGTTGCTGAGTTCATCAAGAGGACCATCTTGAAAATCCGCATGAATGAACTGCTAACAATCCTAAAAGCCTGGGACTTTTTGCCTGAAAATCAACTGCAGACTATAAATTTCCGGCAGAGAAAGGAATCTTTAGTTCAGCACTTGGTTCGGCTGTGTGAGGTAACTGTGTTAAAAATGATGAGTCTTGAACAAAATGCTACCCCTTTGGGTTTTTCTTTCTTCTGTTCCTTACTGCAAAAGGAATGTAAGGTAGCTGCTAAACTACTAGCGAAGGGATGAGGGCTACATACAACTGCAGTGGAAAATAAACTAATTTTTAATTGACCTTTTCATCTTAAAAGAATGCTAACAGCCGGGCCCGGTGGCTCACGGCTGTAATCCCAGCACTTTGGGAGGTTGAGGCAGTGGATCATGAGGTCAAGAGATCAAGACCATCCTGGCCAACACAGTGAAACCTTGTCTCTACTAAAAATACAAAAATTAGCTGGGTGTGGTGGTACATGCCTGTAGTCCTAGCCACTAGGAGGGCTGAGGCAGGAGAATCACTTGGACCTGGGAAGCAGAGGTTGCAGTGAGCCGAGATCACACCACTGCATTCCAGCCTAGCAACAGAGCGAGACTCCATTTCAGAAAAAAAAAACAGAAAAAGAATGCTTACAAATCAATAAGAAAGAATAAGTGAATACCATAGGAGAAAAAAACACTCAGTACAAATTTAAATAATGAGCAGTAATTTTTACAGTATTTTTCTAAACCTATCTAATTATCAAGTATCAAAAGACAACAGCCAGATTTGTTGACAAAGTTGCAGAGAAAGGAATCCTTTCATGTGTATTTATCTGCTTAATTGCTTTTTGTTTTAAAATGTTTTCAGACTATCAGAAAAGTTGCACATATAGTTCAAATAATTTTCTTATTCCAATATACTGGTTTCTCCTTCATTTAACTTGTTTATTTTATTTACTTATTTTTGAGACAGAGTCTTGCTCTGTTACCCAGGCTGGAGTGCAGTGGCACAGTCGGCTCACTGCAACCTCTGCCTCCCACATTCAAGCGATTCTCCTGCCTCAGCCTCCTGCGTAGCTGGGACTGCTGGCATGCACCACTATATCGGGCTAATTTTTGTATTTTCAGTAGAGATAAGGTTTTGCCATGTTGACCAGGTTGATCTCCAACTCCTGACCTCAAGTGATCCGCTTGCCTTGGCCTTCCAAAGTGCTGGGATTACCAGTATGAGCCACCGCACCCAACTTCCTTTACTTTTAAATAAATACACTTTTTGACCTAGCAATTCTATTTATGGAAATTCATAGTAAGAAAATAGTAAAAAATAAGGAAGTATATGTAAATAATATAATTGATAAGTATTTATAGAAATTAAGATGCATTGTAGCATTGTTTTAAAACCAAAACAGATCCACATAAACACATGTATACTAATGTTCACAGCAACATTATTCATAGAAACCACAAACTGGAGACAACCCAAATGTCCATCATCAGGTAAACAGATGAACAGATTGTGATGCATCCATACAGTGGATACACTCAGCAATAAAAAGGAGTGAAGTATTCATAGATGCCAACATATGGATGATATCAAAATAACTGTGCTAAGTAAAAGCCAGACCAAAAAAACAAGTACATACTTAACGTTAACATTCACACAAACCTCTAGAAAATGCAAACAAATCTATAATGACAGAAAGCACATCAGTGTTTGCCTCAGGACTAACAGTTGGGAGGTAGAGACACGGGGACAAAGAAGAGTGAGGGGGGTGGTGACAAGAAAGAGACACAAGACTGGGCCCAATGGCCTCTGCCTGGAATCCCAGCACTTTGGAATGCCAAGGCAGGCAGATCATTTGGGGTTAGGAGAACAGCCTGGCCAACATGAAAACTCCACTTCTACTAAAACTACAAAAATTAGATGGGCGTGGTGGTGCACACCTGTAATCCCAACTACTCAGGAGGCTGCGGCAGGAGAGTCACTTGAACCTGGGAGACAAAGGTTGCAGTGGGCGAAGATTGCACCTTTGCACTCCTGGGCAGCAATGAGACTGTGCCTCAAAAAAAAAAAAATAGACAGGAGAACATTTGGGAGGCAGTGCTGTTGGATCTTGTCACTGTCTTGGTTGTGGTAATGGTTTTGTGTGTATATTCATAAGTCATAACTCAGCAAATTGTATACTTTAATAATATATATAGTTTAATGGATGATAATTATAGTTCAATAAAGTTCATTTTAAAAAAAAAAAAATCCAGAAATTAAAAGTGATAAATGAGGAATAAATTGTGAGCGAAGATTTTGAATGCCTGGACTGAGACATGAATCAGAAAGAATGTCCACTGGTTAACAGGAGAACAGAGGGGAGACAGGTTGTCAGTGAAGTACTGAGAACGTGCTAGTAGTCTGTTCTAACCAATCCTAAAATGTATATTAAAGGGATACAAACAAACCTATCACCACAGTTAGGCTAATTAATATGTTTTCTTTTTTAGGAAAAGCATGCAAGTCTCAATGATGCTGCCCTGTTAGACATCATTTGTAAGTTTTAGTGATTTGTATTTACACTTAACCAATCAGTTTCATCAGAGGCAATTTTATTTCTTTCTATGTGAGACAGAGTCTCCCTCTGTCGCCCAGGCTGGAGTGTAGTGACACCATCTCAGCTCACTACAACCTCTGCTCCTGGATTCAAGTGATCTTCCAACCTTCTCCCTCTGTCACCCAGGCTGGAGTGTAGTGACACGATCTCAACTCACTGCAACCTCTGCTCCTGGATTCAAGTGATCTTCCAACGTCAGCCTCCCAAGTGGCTGGGACTATAGGCTTGTACCACCATGCGTGGCTAATTTTTTCTATTTTTTGCCATGTTTTGCCATGTTGCCCAGGCTGTCTCCAGCTCCTGGGTTCAAGTGGTCATCCTGCCTCTGCCTCCCACAGTGCTGGGATTACAGGTGTGAACCGCTGTACCTGATCCAGAAACAGTTTTGTACATAAGGCCTCAGGTTCTAGAGTCGAGGAGACCTTGTTTCAAATCCCAGCTGTGTCACTTGGCTACATGTTCTTTGCCAAGTTACAACACCTTTCTAAGCCTCAGACTTCAAGCAGAGATAATAGTACAGTATGTACTTCACAGGATTCTTGTTAGCATTAAATGAGATAATGCCTGAGAAGCTGTTAGTGTGGTAACTGGCACATCATAAGCACAAAGTAAATGCTTGTTAGGCTTTGTATTACTCAGGTTGCCAACTTACAATAGCTCAACTTAACATTTTTCAACTAGTATGAAAGCAGCATGCCAGTAGGAAAGCAGCAGGGATTCAACAGAAACCATGCTTCGAGTTCCCATATGACCATTCTTTTCTCACTTTCAGTACAGTATTTAATAAGTTACATTAGGTATTCAACACTTTATGATATAAGCCTTTATGTTGGGTGATTTTGCCCAACTGTAGGCTACTGTAAGTGCTCTGAGCACCTATAAGGTAGGCTAAGCTAGGATGTATGAAGGGTAGGTGAATTATATTCACCTCAAGGTGGATTTATCGGGCATAGCCCCATCATAAGTGAAGAAGAGTCTGTATTATTATTACAGCATTTGAAAATATCTTTCGGAAAATTTATTCCTATTACACTGCAGTTTCTCACCTTTCCTCCCTTCCTCTCATTGATTTTTGTCTAGCTTTGCTGTCTGTACTTTTTTAAGATGTCTGTTTTTATCATCAGGAGGCAACGTAGTATAGGGGCTGAGAACACAGGCCTTGGGGCCAGATTTCTTGGGTTCATTTCATGGCTCCATTATTGCCTCCCTGTGAGCTCTGGAAAAAGCTGGTTAACATCTCTGTGCCATGCCAACATGTCTGGTTTTATCATTTGACCAAACTGTATAATAGTGATAATATCACATAAGGTTATGGTGAGGATTAAATAAGATGTTAAATACTTAGAATAGAACCTGGTATCTACTAATTGTGATCATTATGTATTAGCTGTTTTCTGTAAGTGTAATGAAAATTATCTTTATTAATACCTTGCTCCAACTATGCCATCGCTGAATTCAGGGCATCGGCATCGTTCATCAAACATAAACTGAAGCCTGGTATGATGGTGTGCAACACTTGGGAGGCTGAGGCAGGAGGATCGCTTGACCCTGCTAGTTCAAAGTCCAGTTAACATAGTGAAACCCTGTCTTTTAGAAAAACAAAATAAATACTGAGTGCTTGCTTTATGCTACACAGTTAAGTTTAGACCTGGGACTACAACAGTAAACAGGTCCCTCACTTCCATGAATGTCTAGTTGGGAAGACAGGTAGTGTATAAATGAACATCTAAATACATAATGTAGCCAGGCACGGTAGCTCACGCCTGTAATCCCAGCACTTTGGGAGGCCGAGGTGAGTGGATCACCTGAGGTCAGGAGTTCGAGACCAGCCTCGCCAACATGGTGAAACCCCATCTCTACTAAAAGTACAAAAAATTAGCAGGGCATTGTGGCAGGCATCTGCAATCCTAGCTACTCGAGATACTGAGGCAGGAGAATTGCTTGAACCCAGGAGGCAGAGGTTGCAATGGGCTGAACTCGCACTATTGCACTCCAACCTGGGCAACAAGAGTGAAACTCAATCTCAAAAATATAATAAGTACAGACACACACACACACACACATATAAATATATATATACGTAATATGACATCAGGTAATGGTGCGTCCTCCGATGGGAACTGGGAACTAACACGGGATGTTTGGGGTGGGGTGATGAGGGTGGGGGCTACTCTGAGTAGAGAGCAGAATGAGGTGGGGAATGGGATGTGTAAGGAGCTAGGAGAAGAGGCTTCAGACAGAGGAACAGGTGACTCAAATGTGGGTCCTGTGGGGCACAGCATTCCCTCTTGTGCAAGATTAATGTGGCATTCTGTGGGGCAGGCTTATGTGGAAATAGAATAAATGGGCTAACACAGAATAAATACCAAAACTCAACTGTGTCATCTTAATGGGCTGGATTGGATAATGATTTGCTTTATTCGTATGAAGTAAATTTAATCCATATAAAGTTTATGTTTTGAATATAAATCTGTATAACCCCATTTGTGAATTACTGTTATTTTCCCCAGTTTTATATTATAAAAATATCAATAAGCATATTACTTCAAAGTTCTATGATATGCTAGTAGTAAACCTTTTTTCTCTCTCTCAGATACTCAATTTCATCAACACCAGAAAATCTGGGATGTTTTTCAGATGAGTAAAGAACCAGGTAATATTTTCTGTTTATAATTGAATGTTTGTATTTGATATTTTGGCTTGGACCCAGGAGGCAGAGGTGAGCTGAGATCCACTGTACTCTAGCCTGGGTGACAAAGTGAGACACCATCTCAAAAAAAAAAAAAAAAAAAAAAAAAAAATAGCAGTATGTTCCTCATTTCTTTCAAAATTAGGTGATTATTTATTACACCTTTATGGAAAATGAGAAGCATATTTCTTGGTGCCATGTCAGAAGTACTAGCAGCATTTGTGTGATTTGATCATTATTGCTCTAGAATTATACTAAATGCTTAGTTTCAGGGTTCTTTGTAAATGTATTTACTGAAGACATTGTAGCTGTCTTGATTTTTCTTTATTGTGTTTCACTTTGGCAGGTGAAGATGTTGACCTTTTTGATATGAAACAATTCAAAAATTCATTTAAGAAAATTCTTCAGAGAGCATTAAAGAATGTAAGAATAAAAATCATCTTTTACATAAAATTCAATGTAATGATGTCTGTGCACTTAAAATTTGCTACTTAGTTTTTTTTGGTAAGAAATTCAGTTAGAGGCCGGGCGCGGTGGCTCAAGCCTGTAATCCCAGCACTTTGGGAGGCCGAGGCGGGTGGATCACGAGGTCGAAAGATTGAAACCATCCTGCTCAACATGGTGAAACCCCGTCTCTACTAAAAATACAAAAAAACTAGCTGGGCGTGGTGGCGCGTGCCTGTAATCCCAGCTACTTAGGAGGCTGAGGCAGGAGAATTGCCTGAGCCCAGGAGGCGGAGGTTGCGGTGAGCCGAGATCGCGCCATTGCACTCCAGCCTGGGTAACAAGAGCGAATCTCCTTCTCAAAAAAAAAAAAAAAAAGAAGAAATTCAGTTAGTAATAGTTCATACTGTTCTACTCCATATCAAAGACACACTGTAAATATTATAAAATCTTCCCTTTCCTCTCACCTGTCCATTCAGGGGGTGATACTTCCTTTTCAGGCAGAACTCAATCCAATAGAGCTCTCTGCAGTGATGGAACTGCTCTTTATTGTCACTGCTCAGTTCAGCCACATGTGGCTGCTGAGCACTTGAAATGTGGCTAGTGTGACTGAGCAGCTGAATTTTTAATCTCTCTTTTTTTTTTTTTTTTTTTTTTTAGACAGAGTCTTAGTCACCCAGGCTGGAGTGCAGTGGCGAGATCTCGGCTCACTGCAACCTCTGCCTCCTGAGTTCAAGAAATTCTTCTGGCTTAGCCTCCTGTAGCTGGGACTACAGGTGTGCACCAGTAGGCCCAGCTACCTTTTGTATTTCCAGTAGAGACAGAGTTTCTCCATGTTGACCAGGCTAGTCTTGAACTCCTAACCTCAGGTGATCTGCCTACCTCAGCCTCCCAAAATGCTGGAACTAGAGGCGTGAGCTACCGTACCCGGCCTGAATTTTTAATCTTATTTAACTTTAATGATTTTACATTAAGTAGCCACATGGAGCTAGTAGTTCCAGTAATGGTCAGTACAAATCTGAAGCACCCTTGATTTCACAGATGTTTTTGCTTTTGTAATGTGAAACAAAGAAGCTATTCAGAATAAGATGCCCTTGCATTCAAGCTAGTAGAGGCCTACAGCACGTGACTGGGGCCAAGCTCTGTGCTGCTCACCCAAGAAAGTCACACAGCTCTGCGCCACCATACCCTGGACTGGGGAGACTTCCTTGTCTCCTGGACTGAGGGAATTCAGAAAAGGAGCTAAATAAAGGGAGCAGAATTTGCTAGTGCCACCATAACAACCCACTTTTCCTAGAACAAGATCTCAGAGGGAGGAAATAGAGACGTGGGCGAGCCAAGTGCATTTCACTCAAGTTCCTCATTTCCAGGCTCAGAGCTTTAAAGGGAAGCTGAATTAGAGGGGAGCTGAGAATCTAGGAACCGGCTATTAAATTCCAGACTAACTGGCAACCATATGTAGCAGTTTAGAAGGGCCTGTATTTTATCAATGAAATGGATACAGGGTAGTACTTCCTCTGGTCTCGCCATATAACATTCCCACAGGAGTTTTTACCTTCTGAGCTAAATGCATAAGAGCATTAGGAATAGTATATTTTTAAGCCCATTATTACACAGAAATCTTATGTTTCTTTTTTCCTTTTTTTTTTTTTTTTTTTAAATGAGACATGGTCTCACTCTGTTGCCCAGGCTGGAATGCACTGACATGATCTTGGCTCATGATAGCCTCGACCTTGCAGGCTCAAGCCATCTTCCCACCTCAGCCTCTCAAGTAGCTGGGACTATAGGCACATGCTACCATGCCTGGCTTTTTTTTTTTTTTTTTTTTTTTGGTAGAGATGGAGTTTCACTACATTGGTCAGGTTGTTCTCAAACTCTTGGGCTCAAGCAATTCTCCGACCTCAGCCTCCCAAAGTGCTGGGATTACAGGCATGAGTCATAACACCTGACTTAATTACATAGAAATCTTACTCTTAAACTTGATAGTGGATGCTAGATCTGTGCTAGATGCTGAAAAGGCTTCATTATAAAACAATCTCATTTATAAGGCTGCCTTACCTCATAAACTCTTACAGCTGGAAGAGCAGTTTTCAGGACAAGCCCAAGAAATTATTTTTCTCTGCAAAAAAAACTTTTTTAAAAAAATTAGCCAGGCATGATGGCATGTGCCTGTGGTCCCAGCTACTAAGGAGGCTGAGATGGGAGGATGGCTCGAGCCCAGGAAGTGGAGGCTGCAGTGAGTGAGCTAGGATCATGCCACAGCCCTCCAGCCAGAGCAACAGAGTAAGACCCAGTCTCGAAAAAAAGAAATGAAAAAGATTTTTTTTTTTAATCGCAAAATGTTTTCCCAAAAATACCCAAAATACTCCTGAAAAGGAGAAAAGACTGCCAGGTCTCAACCTGCATGCAAGATTATAGGGACATCGCCGGGCGCGGTGGCTCAAGCCTGTAATCCCAGCACTTTTGGGAGGCCGAGGCGGGTGGATCACAAGGTCAAGAGATCGAGACCATCCTGGTCAACATGGTGAAACCCCGTCTCTACTAAAAATACAAAAAATTAGCTGGGCATGGTGGCACATGCCTGTAATCCCAGTTACTCTGGAGGCTGAGGCAGGAGAATTGCCTGAACCCAGGAGGCGGAGGTGGCAGTGAGCCGAGATCATGCCATTGCACTCCAGCCTGGGTAACAAGAGCGAAACTCCGTCTCAAAAAAAAAAAAAAATTATAGGGACATCATCACTTACCCCTAAAAATCACCTGGAATTGGTGCCACAGTGAGATTTTAATTAGGAAACTTAATCCTTTTTTTTTTTTTTTTTTTTTTTTTTTTTTTTTTTAATGAGGTGACAGTCAGCTTCAGAGAAACTGAGGAGAATGCAGTCTGGATTCGAATTGCCTGGGGAACACAGTACACAAAGCCAAACCAGTACAAACCCACCTATGTGGTATACTACTCCCAGACTCCGTACGCCTTCACGTCCTCCTCCAGGCTGAGGTGCAATGCACCACTTCTGGGTCAGGTATGGAAGAAATTGTCACAAGCTGTAATATTTTATTATCCTTATCGCAAAGTTCTATAAAGATTTTAACTGCTCAATAAGTATTTGATACAGAATACCAGGTGAGGTGTAGTGGCGTGTACCTGTGGTCCCAGCTATTTGGGAGGCTGAAGTGGGAGGATTGCTTGTCCCAGGATTCCAAGGCTGCAGTGAGCTGTGATCACAAGACAAAGCAACATATCACCTCAAAAAAAAAAAGATAAAGAATACCACATTTAATTCTTGTTCTCTTAAAATAAGAAACAGAGAGTTGTTATCTGCAGATGGGAACACAGCATAAGGTATTAGTTTGGGGCTATACTTTATTGTTTTTTGATCTAGAAATAATGCATGCTTAATATAAAAAAATGCAACCAATATAGAAGTCTCTAAAGATAAAAAGGCTTCAAAGCTTCATACCCCTATTCCCTGTTCCATACATTCAAAATAACTACCGTCAGAGTTTGCTATTTCCTTTGACAGGATGTTTATTAGAAAAGCCAAGGCAGCGGGTGCGGTGGCTCAAGCCTGTAATCCCAGCACTTTGGGAGGTGGGTGGATCACGAGGTCAAGAGATCAAGACCATCCTGGTCAACATGGTGAAACCTCGTCTCTACTAAAAATACAAAACATTAGCTGGGCATGGTGGCGCGTGCCTGTAATCCCAGCTACTCAGGAGGCTGAGGCAGGAGAATTGCCTGAACCCAGGAGGCGGAGGTTGGGGTGAGCCGAGATCGCGCCATTGCACTCCAGCCTGGGTAACGAGCGAAACTCTGTCTCAAAAAAAAAAAAAAAAATTGAATATGTATATATTTGCCAGGCGCGGTGGCTCAAGCCTGTAATCCCAGCACTTTGGGAGGCCGAGGCGGGTGGATCACGAGATCAAGAGATCGAGACCATCCTGGTCAACATGGTGAAACCCCGTCTCTACTAAAAGTGCAAAAAATTAGCTGGGCATGGTGGCACATGCCTGTAATCCCAGCTACTCAGGAGGCTGAGGCAGGAGAATTGCCTGAGCCCAGGAGGTTGCGGTGAGCCGAGATCACGCCATTGCACTCCAGCCTGGGTAACAAGGGTGAAACTCCGTCTCAAAAAAAAAAAAAAAAGAAAAGCCAGGGCAGGCCGGGTTTGGTGGTTCATGCCTGTAATCCCAGCACTTTGGGAGGCCAAGGCAGGTGGATCACCTGAGGTCAGGAGCTCAAGACCAGACTGGCCAGCATGGTGAAACCCCATCTCTATTAAAAATACAAAAAAATTAGCTGAGATGGTGGCGGGCGCATGTAATCCCAGCTACTTGGGAAGCTGAGGCAGGAAAATCACTTGAACCTGGGAGGTGGTGATTGCAGTGAGCCAAGATTGTGCCATTGCACTCCATCCTGGGCAACAAGAAAGAAACTCAAAAAAAGAAATTCAACAGAACATTTCCACATGGTTACAAATGAATATACCTCATTGCTTTTTCATAACTGTATAATTTGCCTATTGATGAACATCATTTTCATTTGGAACCATTTCTCCCACATTCCATACACAAGGAGACTGCTTTAACCTAAGATGTAGCCTCTGTTCAGAGTCTGCTTCTCTTTATGGTTCTGCCTTTAGTATCACAAGCTTCTTAGGATCTTTCCCCAAAGTAAGTTCTCCCTAAATTGGCGTGGCAATTGCTGCTGCCACTATTAGCATTCACAACCGCAGTGGCACCTTCAATTGGTTCCAGAGCTGCCACATCAGCTGGTTGTAGTGAGTAGCTTCGCCATCCTGGCTGCATCACCTCCTGTCACTACACACAGCAGAGCTGGGTACAGAGCTGAGTGGAGCCGCTGTGTGGACTCCAGTGTTGTGACCAGGCGAGCGCCAGGATCCCTGTGACTGTACTTGCTTGTCATTTAAGTTTTTTGGTGGTTTATCGAAATGGCAAAGACTGCTACTCAATTCTATTTCCTTTTAACACTTCTTTACATTTGGGCTCTCCTCCTCCATGACACATAGTAGTCTTTCATTCAGTTACACCTAGGTAGTTTAAACATTACCTTACCACAGGTAGTTTAAACATTACCCTAAAGGCTAGTGTTCTATTTTTTTTTTTTTTTTTTTTTTTTTTTGAGACAGAGTCTCGCCCTGTCACCCCGGGTACAGTGGGACATGATCTTTGCTCACTGCACTCTCCACCTCCGAGGTTTAATCGATTTTCCTGCCTCAGCCTCCCGAGTAGCTGGGACTACAGGCACTCACCACCATGCCTGGCTAATGTATTTTTGTATTTTTAGTGGAGATGGAGTTTCACCTTATTGTCCAGGCTGGTCTTGAACTCCTCACCTCAAGTGATACACCCACCTCGGCCTGCCAGAGCTCTGGGATTACAGACATGAGCCACCACTCGGACTAATGTTCATTTCTATTGCACATCTTAAGGCAAACTTGTCTCTATTCTCTAGATCCAAGTAAACATCTTGACCTATCATAGTAATTCTGTTTCAGTCTTCTTTTTCCTTGACAGGAAACTTTTTTAAGCTGTATTCAATACACACTTTTTTCTTCAGTATTTGCCATAAAGCATACATATCTGCATTTCTGAATGGCAGTATCATTATAGTATTAGATGACTCATATTCAAAAACAGTAACATTTTGAGTATTTATTTTTTATTCCTAAGTCTGAACTTGATTTATTATAACTCCTAACTTTAAACAGGGTCACTTTTCTTAAAAAATGATTTAAAAAACTGCATTTATGAGAATCTTAATAGCATTAACCATGCTGTTTTTGAAATTAGCAACAGGCTTTCAGATTTTTTTCTAGATTTCTTTTTTTTACACTTAAGGGGAAACTATTCACTAATTGCAGTTCCTAATATTTTACTTTGACAAATATTACAAACACAGAGACAGTAATCCTAATAAAAGTCTTGCACATTTTCATTTCAAGGCACTGACAGTTGCTAGCAAACACCATCAGATTGTGAAAATGGACCTGAGAAGTAGATATCTGGAGTCTCTCAAGGCTATTGTTTTTAAACAGTATAATCAGGTGAGCCAATCTGTGACTCTCTTTAAAGGTAAATCTTTATTTTCTCTTTCATACCAGAGTTAGAAGCTAGTGGGAAAAGTCGCTACTGGGAAAATCTACCTCTTGACAAGAGGAGATCACTTCAGATATTACTGAAATGAAGAAAGCTTGCTATTAGTGAACATGAAAGGAAAATAAAAATTCCTCAGTCATCTTTTTATAATTATATTGTGTTTTATACCACTCATTAGTCATTAGAGTCTATGTTATAGATCTCAGCCTCCAAATCAGCTAATCTAGAATCTGTTTTTTCTTTAGAGTAAATTTACATTGTCTCTTGAAGCTAAATACATTATTCTATCAAACAACAGAAAAGTGTGATTAGTTTTTTGTCCCATCAGTCTAGCAGGTTATATAGGCACTGGAATTAAAGAGAAAAGTGTGCTTTTTTTAAGTCCCAAAATTCATTTGTTAAAATTATTGGAACGTAATGTTCCCTCTAATGACAAGTACAGATCTGTCCTTACAATGCAGGGGTATTTTTTCAAACTAAGCATGACAAATGTCTGCATATGTGTCGAGACTCCTGTGTTGGATTGTTAATGCGCTCTGTATATCTTTGAGCCATTAGAGATGTTATAGTTATGCATTTTGATCTGTTCTAAGCAGAAAGAAGTGATGCTCTCTGCAAGTAGTCCCTCTTTAAGGAAAAACTAGCATTAAGAAGTTTTGCCTAGCTGGGCATGGTGGCGTGTGCCTGTAATCCCAGCTACTCAGGAGGCTGAGGCAGGAGAATTGCCTGAACCCAGGAGGCGGAGGTTGCGGTGAGCCGAGATCGCGCCATTGCACTCCAGCCTGGGTAACAAGAGCGAAACTCCGTCTCAAAAAAAAAAAAAAAAAAAAAAAAGAAGTTTTGCCAGCCAGGCACGGTGGCTCACGCTTGTATTCCCAGCACTTTGGGAGGCTGAGGCGGGCAGATCACCTGAGGTCAGGAGTTCGAGATCAGCCTGACCAACACGGAGAAAGCCATCTCTACTAAAAATACAAAATTATCTGGGCATGATGGTGGATGCCTGTAATCCCAGCTATTTGGGAGGCTGAATCAGGAGAATCACTTGCACCCAGGAGGCGGAGGTGGCAGTGACCCAAGATTATGCCATTGCACTCCAGCCTGGGCAACAAGAGCAAAACTCCATCTTAAAAAAAAAAAAAGTTATATCATGAGGCCAGGCACAGTGGTTCAGTCCTGTAATCCAGCACTTTAGGAGGCCAAGGTTGGAGGATTGCTTCAGCTCAGGATTTCGAGACCAGTCTGGGCAACGTAGGGAGAACCCATCTCTACAAAATAAAAAATAATTTTTTTTTTAAGTTAAATCATAATTTTCTTCTCTAGCCATCCCCTCCTACCTACTACCTTCCACCAAATTGATATAAACTCTTCTGCTGTCATATGACAGTAGTGGTCAGGCACAGTGGCTCATGCCTGTACCCCTAGCTCTTTGGGTGAATTCCTTGAGCCCAGGACTTCAAGACCAGCTTGGGCAATATGGCAAAACCCCATCTCTACCAAAAATACAATAAATAGCCAGGTGTGGTGGCATGTGCCTGTAATCCCAGCTACCTGGGAGGGTTAGGTAAGAGGATCGCCATAGCCCAGGGAGATTGAGGCTACAGTGAGCCGTGATTACACTACTGCACTCCAGCCTGGGCAACAGAATGAGATATTGTCTCAAAAACAAAAAAATGACAATAGCATTCTTAGGAAAATCCACATTGTCAAGCACTGAACTATAAAAACAGTGGCTTCAGTGGGCGAACGTAGGAGAAGGGATTCAGGAGATTCAGACTTATGGTAGGAAGGTTATGTTTCCAAAAGCAATCTCAGTAAGTGTTTTAGGGTTGTGAAGATTCAGCACTGACGATGATGAAATACCACAGTGCAAATGCTTCTGCTGATTCCTTGGGCTTTACACTTGCCAGATCCATTTCTTTTTCTTTTCTTTTCTTTTTTTTTTTGAGACGGCGTTTTGTTCTTGTTGCCCAAGCTGGAGTGCAATGGCGTGATCTTGGCTCACCGCAACCTCTGCCTCCCAGGTTCAAGTGATTCTCCTGCCTCACCCCCCCAAGTAGTTGGGACTACAGGTGTGTGCCACCACACCCAGCTAATTTTTTGTGTTTTTAGTAGAGACGGGGTTTCACCGTGTTTGCCAGGATGGTCTCGATCTCCTGACGTGATCCACCCGCTTTGGCCTCCCAAAGTGCTGGGATTACAGGTGTGAGCCACCACGCCCGGCTCACCAGATCCGTTTCTGTAATAAAAAAGCACAGCTCCTCAAACGGAACAGTGAGCTGCAGTCCCAGCAGCCTCCTTATCAGTGTCCTGTTCAACTCAGCCAGGATATGGCCTCGGAACTTTTTGTTGAAAAAAAAAAAAAAAAAATTTGGCATACTTTAATATTCTAAAACCAATTAATATATATACTTCAAGATGTCAAAATTAGTAAAACATTCACTTTTTTTTTTTCCTAGACCTTTGAAACTCACAACTCTACGACACCTCTACAGGAAAGAAACCTTGGACTAGATATAAATAGTATGTGTATTTTAATATAAAACTGAATTTTGGAAATGCATCATTCCCTTATAGATTTCTTTCACTTGGTAAACCGTGTATACTGGGATCCTAATTCAACACTATGTATTTTCAGAAAAATTGAAAATTAAGTATCTGTTGAAGGAGGAAAGCTAATCTACCATAGGACTCCATTAGAATTTACTGGAGTAACAATAAACAACAAAATAATAATGACAAAAACAAAAATTAGCTAATAGTTGTTGAGCATTTCTTGTGTGCCAGGCACCACACAAGATGTTTATATATATTCTTTCCTTAATCTTCACAGTAGTCCTGTGAATAAGTACTATTCAGCCGGGCGCGGTGGCTCAAGCCTGTAATCCCAGCACTTTGGGAGGCTGAGGCGGGTGGATCACGAGGTCGAGAGATCGAGACCATCCTGGTCAACATGGTGAAACCCCGTCTCTACTAAAAATATAAAAAACTAGCTGGGTGTGGTGGCGCGTGCCTGTAATCCCAGCTACTCAGGAGGCTGAGGCAGGAGAATTGCCTGAACCCAGGAGGCAGAGGTTGCGGTGAGCTGAGTTCACGCCATTGCACTCCAATCTGGGTAACAAGAGCGAAACTCCGTCTCAAAAAAAATAAAAAAAATAAAAAATAAATAAAAAAAAAAATAAGTACTATTCATTGGTTTGGTGACTCTCTAGGCAAAGTCACACAGCTAAGGAGTGGAAGAGCCAGCTATGAAATCCAGGTGTGTCTGGGTCTGGAGCCCATGCTTTAATGCACTGCATAAACTTCTAGAACAATCAGAATCTAAGTATATTGCTACTCAAAGATGACTGAAGTCTCTCACTAGAAAACCCAAGCGAACAGAGTACAGAACTACTAATTTATATTAAACAGAGTATGGAACTACTAATTTCTCTCACTAGAAAACCCAAGCAAACAGAGTACAGAACTACTAATTTATATTACTTTAGTAAATTCCCAAAAATGGTGGGGTAAAATATAAATTCATTAAAAAATGCAAACTTTCCTCTTAAGAAAGATTTGGCAATGAAACAAAACAGTGCCACTGTTATAAACTAAACGCTTTTATGATTTGCCAATGTCATATGAACTGCTGTTGATCTCATTTTAGGTAAAGAAAGCAGGATATAAAATTGTGGGTATTTTATGATTCGAGTTTTAAATAATACTTAGATGAGGCCAGGAGCAATGGTATGCATCTGTGGTTTCAGCTACTTGGGAAGCTGAGGTGGGAAGATTGCTTGAGCCCAGGAGATCCGGTCCAGACTGGGCAACATAGTGAGACCCCGTCTCTTAAAAAATATATATATATACACATATAGGCACTGTGGCTCACACCTGCAATCCCAACACTTCAGGAGGCCAAGGTGGGCAGATCACTTGAGGTCAGGCGTTTGAGACCAGCCTGGCCAACGTGGTAAAACCCCATCTTTACTAAAAATACGAAATTAGCCGGGCATGGTTGTGCACTCCTGTAATCCCAGCTACTTAGGAGTCTGAGGCATGAGAATCGCTTGAACATGGGAGGTGGAGGTTGTAGTGAGCTGAGATTGCGCTACTGCATCCCAGCCTAGAAGACAGAGCAAGACTCCATCTCCAAACAACATACACACACACACACACACACACACACACACACACACACACACACATCTTTATTTTTATTCACTGTAAAAAGAGCTAGGCAAAAATACACTAAAATGCTAACAGTGCTTATTTCTGGGTGGTGGAATTACACGATTTTTATTTTTTTATTTTTTCTCTTATCAACCCTTACTTTCCAACTTCCCTACAATAAGAAATTATTACAACCAAAAGAAGCAGCAGTAAATATTATTTTAAAATTATACAAACAATTTGAAGGGTTAGGAATGAAAGGAGGATAATTTAAGGATGAAATATATTCCTAACGGCTGTTTTATCTGAAATCTTCCACCTATAGTGGATTCAAGGATCATTCATGAAAACATAGCAGAAAAAGAGAGAGTCCAACAAATAACTCAAAAAACATTTGGAGATTATCCTCAACCACAACTAGAATTTGCACAATATAAGGTAAGACATAGTAATAAATATTAACTATTGAATATTAAGACATCAACATTAAGCCGGGCGCAGTGGCTCAAGCCTGTAATCCCAGCACTTTTGGAGGCCGAGGTGGGTGGATCACGAGGTCAAGAAATCGAGACTATCCTGGTCAACATGGTGAAACCCCATCTCTACTAAAAATACAAAACATTAGCTGGGCATGGTGGCGTGTGCCTGTAATCCCAGCTACTCAGGAGGTTGAGGCAGGAGAATTGCCTGAACCCAGGAGGCGGAGGCTGTGGTGAGCCGAGATCACGTCATTGCACTCCAGCCTGGGTAACAAGAGTGAAACTCTGTCTCAAAAAAAAAAAGACATCAACATTGTTTAAAAAGAACAAAAACCTTAAGTGAAAAACAAATCTAAGAAACTATTCCTCTTTCATGTATCACTTTAATTTCATGTAATAAATTTATGAATTAAATAGACCTCTATTGTATTTATAAGTTCTTCTGTTAGCACAGGAGATCTTTATAAATTATTAATTTGAGCCGGGTGTGGTAGCTCATGCCTGTAATTTCAGCACTTTGGGAGGCCAAGGCGGGTGGATCACCTAAGGTCAGGAGTTTGACACCAGCGTGGTCAACATGGTGAAACCCTGTCTCTACTAAAAATGTTAAAAAAAAAAACAGCTGGGCACAGTGGCTCACGCCTGTAATCCTAGCACTTTGGGAGGCTGAGACGGGTGGATCACAAGGTCAGGAGATACAGACCATACTGGCTAACACAGTGAAATTCCGTCTCTACTAAAAATACAAAATATTAGCTGGGTGTTGTGGCATGCACCTGTTGTCCCACTACTCGGGAGGCTGAGGTAGGAGACTTGCTTGAACCAGGGAGGCAGAGGTTGCAGTAAGCCAAGATCGCGCTGCTGCACTCCAGCTTAGGTGACAGAGTGAGACTCCATCTCAAAAAGAAAAAATTAGCCAGATGCAGGGTGCATGCCTGTAATCCCAACTATTCAGGAGGCTGAGGCAGAAGAATCACTTGAACCCAGCAGGTGGAGGTTACAGTAAGCCAAGATTGTGCCACTGCACTTCAGCCTGGCAGACAGAGCGAGACTCCATTTAAAAAAAAAAGGAAATTATAAATTTGCCTTCTAGTTTCATCTTAACATATTAATGCAGTTATGCATAACTGGCTGTAATCTGTATATCTGAGGGGGAAAAAATGTAGATTATACCATTCTAGCCCATCCACACCCAGAACAGTACTTGGCACATAATAGGTGCTCATAAATACTTGCTGAATAAAATAATGAATCAGTAAGTCATTACATAGCCCAGCTGGCATCACATGGAGAAAAGCCAGTAACCTAGGCAGTACCACAAATGTGGCTCGTTCCAGAAGTGTGCCTTCCAGACATGGGCTGCTGCCAGGAAGGCCAGGGCAGGGGGCTACAGGTGTTGAATGCAAACCCACTGCCACCATTAGGAGAACTGGAGGTTTATATTGTGATCACTCTAATTTCACTCCATGCTCATACTCAAAACACTTTTCTGCCCCCAAGCCCTCCAGTAGATTTTTTTCCTCTTTAGCCTTTCTACAGCTACAGGCCACACTTTAAATCCGCCTTTGATCTGCTCACTTAAGCCCAAAGCCTGTTTGATTTTATGTATTTTTAGTGGGAGAAATGGATTGACACTTTTCAAGTTGGGTCCCTTAATGGCAGGCTTTAAACTAGTTCCTTCAAACAGTTTATAATCTAGGATAGTGGTTCTCAAAGTATAGTCCCTGGCTTAATAGTGTCAGCATCCCTTGGGAGCGGGTAGGAAATGCCAATTCTTGGCCCCACCCTAGTCCTACTAAACTGGGGCAGGTGGGACCCTCACAAGCCCTCTAAGCTGATTCTGCACACGCAAACATGAGAACCACTGGTCTAGGATGCAGAAAATAGGATTTGAACTTTTTTTTTTTTGAAAGACGGAGTTTTGCTCTTACTGCCCAGGCTGGAGTACAATGGTGCGATCTCGGCTCACCACAACCTCCAGGTTCAAGCAATTCTCCTGCTTCAGCCTCATGATTATAGTAGCTGGGATTACAGGCATGCACCACCACACCTAGCTGATTTTGTATTTTAATAGAGACAGGGTTTTTCCCTGTTGGTCAGGCTGTTCTTGAACTGCCGACCTCAGGTGATCCGCCCGAATTAGCCTCCCATAGTGCTGGGATTACAGGCCTGAGTCACCGCACCTGGCCACAAGCTGATCATTATTTCCCCTGGGTGATGTACTCATGAAACGCTTTACTTTTGTATATGTTTAAAATCTTCTATAATTAGAAGTTAAAAAGAAATGTCAGCTGAGTGCAGTGGCTCACACCCGTAATCGCAGCACTTTGGGAGGCTGAGGCAAGAGGATTCCTTGAACCCAGGAGATTGAGACCAGCCTGGGTAACATGGCGAATCCCTGTCTCTACAGAAATTCAGAACTACAGGGCGTGGTGACATGTGGCTGTAGTCCCAGCTGCTTTTGCTGAGGCGGGAGGATGGCTTGAGCCAAGGAGGTTGAGGCTGCAGGGAACCATGTTAGCACCACTCCAGCTTGGGCAACGAAGTGAGACTCTGTCTCAAAAAAGAAAGAAATCTCATTATGACTCAAAAAAAAAAAAAAAAAAAAAAAAAAAAAAAAAAAAAAAAACTGGTATATTTACATTAAAATTACAGATTGGAGAAGATAACATGAATTTACCATTAAGAATCCAAATTGTGGCCGGGCGCGGTGGCTCAAGCCTGTAATCCCAGCACTTTGGGAGGCCGAGGCAGGTGGATCACAAGGTCAAGAGATCGAGACCATCCTGGTCAACATGGTGAAACCCCGTCTCTACTAAAAATACAAAAAATTAGCTGGGCATGGTGGTACGTGCCTGTAATCCCAGCTACTCAGGAGGCTGAGGCAGGAGAATTGCCTGAACCCAGGAGGCGGAGATTGCGGTGAGCCGAGATCACGCCATTGCACTCCAGCCTGGGTAACAAGAGCGAAACTCCGTCTCAAAAAAAAAAATCCAAATTGTAAAGGGCACCTGAGGGCGGAACTGACAGGTAACGTCTCCCATGTGGCAGGCACTGTGCATGCTGGCATTTTGCCTTGGATGTTGTTTGATATACCAGTTGCCCTCTATGTTTTTTTTTTTTTCTTTTTTTTTCTGAGATGGAGTCTCACTTTGTTGCCCAGGCTGGAGTACAGTGGCACCATCTTGCCTTACTGCAGACTCTGCCTCTTGGGTTCAAGCAGTTACCTGGGATTACAGGTACACACTACCATGCCCAGGTAATATTTGTATTTTTTATACAGATGGAGTTTCACCATGTTAGCCAGGCTGGTCTCAAACTCCTGACCTGAAGTGATACACCCGCCTTGGCCTCCCCAAAGTGCTGGGATTACAGGCGTGAGCCACCATGCCCTGCCTGCCCTCTATGTTTGCAGTTAGCAAATGAAATGGTCCCCACCCCTGTTAATTCCTATATTTCTTAATGGCAAGAACTAATAAAATGTATCATTCTGATTTCACTGTATTTCACCATTTATACAATACATTTAATCGTCACTTGTAAATATGTTTGTTGACAGCTTGAAACAAAATTCAAAAGTGATTTAAATGGGAGTATCTTGGCTGAGAGGGAAGAACCCCTCCGATGCCTAATAAAGTTCTCTAGCCCACATCTTCTGGAAGCATTGAAATCCTTAGCACCAGCTGGTGAGTGGTCAGCTTACTTTATAAGCTAGAGAAGTTAACAACATGCCTCCATTCTGTCCTCATAATCTGCTAATTACTTCTGAGCTCTCCCGTCACCCAGTCTGCTACCCCGTAATGCTGTATCGTGCATCTTCCGCTTATGTACTTAATTGGGGGGGAGGGCCACCTCCATGATCCACCCTCTAATCTCGGCCATTTTTAAACTGACTCCAATCCATCCTTCTGTGACAACTTTTAATTTTCTTTTTTCCTTTGTTTTTAAATTTAAATTTCAGGTATTGCAGATGCACCTCTTTCTCCACTGCTCACTTGCATACCCAACAAGAGAATGAATTATTTTAAAATTAGAGATAAATAAGACGTGTGTGGTTTCATAAACACTGCTCCTCCTTCGTGACATTGCACGTGCACTTCCGTTAATGGCTGGCTGTATAGCTTCTGTCTGTAGACTTGTATTTTAGAGAATCCTTGTTACTGAATTTTTAGAAATGCTCACATAATTGTTGGGACTGACTCATTCCTCCACGATATGCATCCTGTCTCGCATACCCTGCTAACAGTTGCGGCCTTTGAGATGACAGGACATACGTATATGTGGCTCCACACTTGACCTAGAGTGCTTGAATGCTCTGAAATCAGGCATTTGGCACAGTGCTGGAGACTTTGGGACTTGTGTTCTTTTTCCCACTGCTGTCTCTTCTTGATTCTGGGGAGGTCTGATTCCAGCTGCTGGTTTCCAGGGATTGATTCTTAAGCCTTAGATCCACAGAAAGAAGCAAAATGAAACTATATTCAAAACTTTTTAGAAGAACCATAAAATTGGTCCATTCAAAGGACAGAGTTGAGTCCATTGTGCTATTGTTGCAAGAGCTTGCATATTTGGTGAGTCAGTTATATAAAATAATATTCTTATTGTAAATATGATACTTTTCATAATTATTTTATCATGTATATAACATTCCAACTGACAAATATTATACTGATTTATGAATAAAGATATAAAAATGCTGTCACATCAGTTACTGTTGATGAAAGTCTTTCAGTGATCATCACTAAATACCATGTTTTTTTAAAAATGTTTTCTAATTTTTTGTTTATTTATTTTTTGAGAGAGAGTCTCGCTCTGTCACCCAAGCTGGAGTGCAGTGGCATGATCACGGCTCACTGCAGACTTGCCCTCCCAAGCTCAAGTGATCCTCCCACCTTAGTCTCCCAAATAACTGGGATTACAGACATGCTCCACCATGCCCAGCTAATTTTTTTTTTTTTTTTGACAGAATCTCTTTCTGTCACCCAGGCTGGAGTGCAATGGCATGATCTCCACCTCCACCTCCCAGGTTCAAGCGATTCTCTTGCCTCAGCCTCTGAGTAGCTGGGATCATAGGCATGCACTACCATGCCTAGCTAATTTTTGTATTTCTAGTAGAGAAACAGGGTATCACTGTGTCGCCCAGGCTGCACTCAAACTCCTGGGCTCAAGCGATCCTCTAACCGCAGCCTCCTGAGTAGCTGGGACGATACGTATAAGCCACTGTGCTCAGCATTTTGATTATTTTAAACCTTTGATATTTGACAGGCTCACCAAAATCAAAATTCTATCTTGAGACGGAGTCTCACTCTGTCGCTCAGGCTGGAGTGCAGTGGTACAATCTCGGCTTATGCAACTTCCACTTCCCGGGTTTAAGCGATTCTCCTCCCTCAGCCTCCCAAGTAGCCAGGATGACAGGTGCTCACCACTACGCCGAGCTAATTTTTGTTTGTTTATTTCATTTTATTTGAGACAGAGTCTTGTTCTGTTGCCCACGTTGGAGTGCAACAGCATGATCTCGGCTCACTGCAACCTCTGCCTCCCAGGTTCAAGCAATTCTCCTGCCCTAGCCTCCTGAGTAGCTGGGATTACAGGCACACGCCACCACACCCAGCTAATTTTTGTATTTTTAGTAGAGACAGGGTTTCACCATGTTGGCCAGGCTAGTCTCGAACTCCTGACCTTGTGATCTGCCCACATTGGCACCCCAAAGTGCTGGGATTACAGGTGTGAGCCACCACACCTGGCTAAAATTCTATTCTATTTAACTTGATTTTTCTCTTCATGGCCAGCTCACTCTTTGGTTTGTCAAACTTTGACGGAAATTTCAGACTAGGGAATATTGAGGCACAGAAAATGATGGATGGTACTTGGGCATGCTGGGTGCTTTTGAAAATGGAAAGGCCTAAGAAATAAGCCTCAGAGTCAAGGTCCCTCTAACTTTGTCTTATTCTTGCCTCAACCAAGAGCAGAGAGGAACTCCCTCTGGAATTTCCTTGTCTAAGAAAGCTTCTTACCAAAAGAAAAACAAATGCCCTCTATTCTTTCCTTCAAATCTCATTGTCTATCAAAGAAATGAAGACTGAAGAATACAGCCACACATGGATGGACTTTTTCATAAGGCCTGCCCTTCAGGCTTATTCAGATTCCAAAGAGAATCATTTGTAAGTTAATTTCTGTCTCCCTGGTCCATTTATTCTCCTGATAATCATTTACTGCTCCTCAAAAGAACTGTATACGTTCCCTATCTCCTTACACCCCTGTGAAAAAGGGTATGTAAGCATCCGTACCCCACTGGGGGTTGGAGGATTTAATCACTCTGCGATTCCTCTCCTTCTTCGCTAGGCATATTAATAAAGCTTGCATGCCTTTTCTCCTATTAATCCATTTTGTATCAGTTGATTTTCAGTGCATTTTTTTAGCACTTTTTAGCAGGATCCAAAAGCTGCTCTGCTCTTCTGGAAGCCCCAGTCAAGGGACCCAGGACTTGAGCAGCTGGCAGAAGGGATTGTACCTTCTGTATGTCCCATTGTATCTATGTTAAAATCATGATGTCACAACATTTAGACATGGTTAATCAAATGTATGCCCCTCCTTATATACAGCTAACTGCTATAGACTAATGCAGTCCTCCTTGTTAAAATGGATCCCTTGTTACTCAAATTTGACCAATCTTGGAAGCACTGATGTGACTACCCACTTTGTGAGACATGACACTGTAGAAACAGGTGTTTCTAACTTTAAGGGAGAGATAACTAGTCTGTGGCCATCCAACAAGTGATTTATCAGCTCTGCTATCTTGGATCTTGATCAAAAGAGGGAAATGTGAAATGTGGTACACAAAATGCATCACTTTGGTTCAGAGCTCTAAAATGGAGTTGGGAAGCCATTCTCAGAAGGACTTGCCTGCACAATCTGCAACTTGGAAAACACAAAAACAAAAAATACGAACTTGCCGTGAAGCTTTGAACTGGGCCAAAATTGCAATAACCACTACATCCTGGAAAACTGAATTTCGCCAGTGTTACAACTCCTCAACAGCGACAACCAGTAAACTATGGATTCATGTACTAAGCCATTTATCTCCTCCAGTGATAATTCTTTCAAAACAACTCATGTAATAACCCTCTACTTTCTTTTAAAAACCTCTATTTCTCTCCCTCTTTTCAGAACCCAGTTTGGCTTCTAGGTGAATGTGTGTCTCCCAAATTGCAATTTCTTTTTTTTTTTTTTTTTTTTTGAGACAGAGTTTCGCTCTTGTTACCCAGGCTGGAGTGCAGTGGTGCGATCTCGGCTCACCGCAACCTCCGCCTCCTGGGTTCAGGCAATTCTCCAGCCTCAGCCTCCTGAGTAGCTGGGATTACAGGCACGTGCCACCATGCCCAGCTAATTTTTTGTATTTTTAGTAGAGACGGGGTTTCACTATGTTGACCGGGATGGTCTTGATCTCTTGACCTCGTGATCCACCTGCCTCGGCCTCCCAAAGTGCTGGGATTACAGGCTTGAGCCACCGTGCCCGGCCCCAAATTGCAATTTCTAAGACCCCAATAAAAATCCCTTGTTTGGCCGGATGTGGTAGCTTGTGCCTATAATCCCAGCACTTTTGGTGGCTGAGGCAGGTGTATCCCTTAGGCTCAAGAGGTCAAAACCAGCCTGGCCAACATGGCAAAAGCCTGTCTCTTTTCTTTTTAAATTAAAAACAGTGCCTTCTCTCACTGCTTTGCAGTGTGGTCTTTCACCTCTTGGTTGACATAAGCAGTCAGTTCTACAGCAGATACCAGCTACTCGTGCTCCAGTTCAATCCAACACTAACTACCTGGAGATAGCATCAGACCCGCACAGATTAAGGGCTCAGTCTCACAAAGCTGCCACCCACTTCTGAGGCCAGCTACCAGCCCCAGGTTCTTTCACCTGCACTTCTGACTAACCAGTTATAAATTGCATTTCCCACAGCCCTCTGTTCATGTTCAATTAGTTTGCTAGAGCAGCTCACAGAACTCAGGAAATCCCATTGACTGACTTCTTATGAGGGATGTTACAAAGGATTCAGATGAAAAGATGCACAGGGCAAGGTTTATGGGACGGGACATGAAGCTTCCATGCATGCCCTCTCTGAGGGTGCCTCCCTCCAGGAAACTTCATGCATTCAGCTATCTGGGAGCTCTCCAAACCTAGCTCTTTTGGGATTTTATGGAACCTTCATTACACAGGAATGACTGATCAACTTAAGCTTCAGCCCCTGTCTCCTCCCCAGAGGTTGAGGGGGAGGACTGAAAGTCCCAAGCCTCTAATGCTGTCTCCCTCTTTGCAGTAACCAGTCTCATCCTAAAGCTACCTAGGGATCTCTAGTCATCAGCCAACTCATTAGCATACAAAAAGACACATCACTTTGCTGATTCCAGGGATTTTAGGAATTGCATGCCAGGACAAAGACCAAATAGACACTTCACGTTATCACAGTTAGGTTGCAAGGCAAAGGGACTTGGCAGTTGGAGAAATTATCCTGAGTGACTTGAATGGGCCCAGTGTCATCACAAGGGGCCTCAAGAATAGAAGAAGCGGAGCGGTCACTAGTGAAGAAATCAGAGTGATGTGATGTGACAAAGACTCAACTCACCTTTACTGATTCTGGAGATGGAGGAAGGGGCCACAAGCCAAGGAATGCAGGCAACCTCTAGAAGCTGGGAAAGGCAAGTAAAGATTCTCCCCTGGAGCCTCCAGAAGGAACACAGCCCTGCTGACACCTTGATCTTAGCCCAGCAGACTCATTTCTTTTGACCTCCAGAGCTGTAAGATAATAAATTTGTGTTAAGGCAGTAAGTTTGTGGTAATTTATTAATAGCAAGAGAAAATGAATATTGCTGCTAGTATGTAAAAGTTGGAAGTTTTCACAGAAAACTCTAGCCACACCAAAGATGAGCAGCAGCTGCCGCTTTTAATAAAGGATGTGTTTCACTGCAGTCCGCCCCCTCCCTTTTGTCTACCCCGTTCCCCTTATGCCCATTTACATGACCTATCCAGTCTAAGTATTTAAGTTTTAGAATCATGTACTGAACTACACTGTCTCCCAAACAGTAATCCTAATTTCAGCAGTTAAAATAGAGGCAAGCAAATCCACCCTCCCTAATGTGATTAACCCTATCCGTTTTAACAGTCCTTTCGTTTGTATAGTGTGGTCTAGGTTAAGTAACTTAATTTCTATAAGCCTAAATATCTACACAAAGTGGGGTAATTTACAGTACGTACCCGCTACAGTCGTTTTGAAGACAAAATGACACAGCATGAAAAGTGCATCCCACCAGACCCACCTGGTACCCGGTAAGATCTAGGTAATTAACAATGGCGGAAATTAGGGTACTTCTGCCTCATCTGCCACTGAACGTTTGGGTTGTTTCTAATCTCTGGGAAGTAAACGCATTGCCCAACGTATTGCTTTATCTTTTGTCTGACTACTGCCTGAGGTTCCTAAAAAGAATGGTTAGATTAGAGGGGCGGGGCAATACCTTTTACCTGCTGGCAGATGAAATTTCGCCTCCTGGCGGCCTCACCTAACGTCCCCTCCCTCCGAGGCGCGCCCTCTGCAGCCGGCAGGGGGCGCCGCGGCCACCTGGGCCCGCCGGATGCTAATGAGCCTGCGGCTCCGCCTCCTGCCGGAAGTGGCTGCAGGGGGGCGGGGCCTGCGAGCTGGGTCCGGCGGCCGTGCGGGAGCCATGGCGGCCTCGGAGGCGGCGGCGGCGGGGTCCTCGGCTCTGACGTCGGGTACCAGGGCCGTCCCCGCGGCCAAAAGAGGAGCCGCCGCCGCCGCCTCGGGCCCGTGGGTGCCCCCGGGACCCCGACTGAGGGGCAGCCGGCCGCGACCCGCGGGGGCGACGCAGCAGTCCTCGGCCGCCGCGCTGCCGCCGGGGGAACTGATCCAGCCGTCGGTGAGCGAGCTGTCCCGGGCCGTGCGGACCAACATCCTGTGCACCGTGCGCGGGTGCGGCAAGATCCTGCCCAACAGCCCCGCGCTCAACATGCACCTGGTCAAGAGCCACCGCCTGCAGGTGAGCCCGACGCGGCCGGCGGCTCGGGCTGCGGGGCCTGGCTCCAACAAAGCGCCCAGCGCCGGCGCGCAAGCCCGACCTGTGGGGCACAAGCGCCCTGCGCGCCGCCGCTGCCCCGCCGGCCTCTGTCCGCCCCGGCTGCAGGTGTCTCTCGAACCCTCGCGGCGGGCCCTGCAGGCGCGGCCTCCGGCGGGGAGGAAGAGCCAGGAGCCCGGGGTCAGCCACTTGCGCCGGTTCCCTGGTTTGCTGGCCCCGAGTGTCGTGCCGGGCGCCGGCCCAGGCATTTTAGACGTTTTTACTCATGAGTTCTCATGGCATCTTGGCGGAGGACGCATGGTCTCCATTATATTAATGAGAAACAGATTATGCAACCTAGGTGATGCGGAGCTTTAAACCCGGGCCTCTGGTTCCGAAGCCCTGTGCTTGCCACCACACCCGCAATACCGCCCTTAGGTCCTGCCCAGTGGACTGTATGTGCCAAAATAACTAGAAGACAGGGTTTTGAATGTTCTCGTCACCAAGAGACAGTATGTTTGAGGTCAAGGACATGTTAAATACACTGACTTGATCACTATGCAATGTATACGTGCATTCATGCTGCACACTGCACCCCCTCAGTAGCAATAATTACTGTGTCGATTAAGAATAAAAAGATGTGGCCGGGCGCGGTGGCTCACCCCTGTAATCCCAGCACTCTGGGAGGCCGAGGTGGGTGGATCACGAGGTCGAGAGATCGAGACCATCCTGGTCAACATGGTGAAACCCCGTCTCTACTAAAAATACAAGAAATTAGCTGGGCATGGTGGCGCGTGCCTGTAATCCCAGCTACTCAGGAGGCTGAGGCAGGAGAATTGCCTGAACCCAGGAGGCGGAGGTTGCGGTGAGCCGAGATCGCGCCATTGCACTCCAGCCTGGGTAACAAGAGCGAAACTCCGTCTCAAAAAAAAAAAAAAAGGAATAAAAAGATGTTTTAAAGCAGCCTTCGGTTTTGCTCTAAACACCATCAGTTTCATGGTGTTGGTAAGATCAGCTCAGGATTGAGACCTAAGGGAAATTGCCCCTGTAGCTCTTCTTTAAGAGGGGATGCAGTACACCATGACAACAGTCAGTTCAGTTCCTCCACGTTATGCAAAAAGGGGCGGTCATTTTCACAATTAGGACACATCTGTGACAAGCATATTAAAAATCCAGATGTCCAGCCCCACACCGGACCTATTAAGTCATAATCTCTCAGTCATTACAATGGCAAGTTTCCTTCCACCACTCTAGGCCAGCGGTGACAGTATTCAAAAGCACGAGTCATTGAAAGCAGTTCTGTGAATATGTAGCTTTTGATGGTCGGGAGTCAATTTAGAGTACCCAGAGTATTGCATGTTCTGTCTGCCCATCAGGTGAATCCTCCTTGGAAAGTTCACTGTAGTCAGACTTCTGATAAGAATTTAACAGCAAAAACCCTGAAATTGTAGTCTCTAGTAGGACAGATGTGTCGCCCATGAAGGGTGATCCGCTTTTACCATCATCTAAACCGAGATGCAACAGCATTCTCAAAAGAAGATCAGGGAGCCAGTCAGGAAATGTACAAGAGGGATGCTGAGGAAGGCCCTGTAGGTGGGGCTGAATTGTTGTACCGAAAAGCTCTGGGTTTTTTTCAGTACACAAGTGTAACTCTGGGAATGGCTTTCAATCTATTGTTTGGTTTTCATACTACATTTTAGATCCTTTTTGGTTGTTGTTTTTGTTTTCGAGACAGAGTCTTGCTCTGTCGCCCAGGCTGGAGTGCAATGGCACAATCCGGACTCACCGTAACCTCTGTCTCACAGGTTCAAGCAATTCTGCCTTAGCCTCCTGAGTAGCTGGGATTACAGGTGCTTGCCACCACACGCAGCTGATTTTGTGTTGCATTTTTAGTAGAGAAAGCGTTTCACCATGTTAGCCAGCCTGTTCTCCAACTTCTGACCTCAAGTGATCCACCTGCCTCTGCCTTTCAAAGTGCAGGGATTACAGGCGCGAGCCACCACACCTGGCCTAAACCCTTTTTTAATCATAACTTAGGTGGATTAATTATTTTTATAGTTTCTTTTTGTCCTTTCTGTGAAATTGCTGTTAGGAGCTCTAGCTCTTTAAAGACCCTGGTCAACATCTGTTGAACTGAAGACACCATTTACTTTTCAGGACTGGTTAGTATACAGTAGGTTTGTTTCTCATTCTGTTGGGATTTTTATTTTGTTTTGTTTGAGACAAACTTTCACTCTGTCATCCGGGCTGGAGAGCAGTGGCTCCATCTTGGATCACTGCAACCTCCACCTCCCAGGTTCAAGCTCGTCTCCTACCTCAGCCTCCCGAGTAGCTGGGATTACAGGTGCACACCACCACGCCCAGCTGATTTTTGTATTTTTAGTAGAGATGGGGTTTCACCATGTTGGCCAGGCTGGTCTTGAACTCCCGATCTCACATTATCCACCCAAAGTACTGGGATTATAGGCATGAGCCACTGTGCTGGGCCTCAAACATTATTATTAATACCTATTTTCAAAGTACTGGAAGGAGGAAAGGGTAAGGACAAGGAACAGGGAGGAAGCCCAGCTGGGAAGCTATCTCAGGTTTTAAGAGCTGTGTTGATGAGAGACTCCACCTGCTTTCTGCCCTGAGTATATCTCATTGGCAGGTTTTCTTACACTCAGTGGAAATTTCCACTGTCTTGGTTACAGTTGCTTGCATAATTTCTTTCATTATTTATATATTTTCTAGATTATATTTTCTTCCCCTCCCCACTAGTTGCTGTATAGTAATTATTTTGTTCTAATCTTTCTTCACGAAACACCCTACCCCCAACCAAATCTTCCCTTAACATAAATGGTGAGCAAGCCCTTCCGAGCGACAATGAGTGAGAATGAGGAACTGGATGGCAGGCTTTAGAGTATGTGCCATCTTCTGGTTTGATGTGGGTGCTTACGGTATATGGCCATATTCCATGTCCTGTAAGGAAATCCAGAAATCTAGCTCAGCCTTGTGTACGGTGGCATTGATGGAGAAATGAAAGCTCTGATGATTCAGGGGCAGGAAGAGTGGAAGTAAGAAGACACTTTTTTATTGCTAGAGATTATGTTGTTCCTGTGTACGAAAGCGGTGGAGGGGACAGGCGGGCGCTTAAAGAACCTCTTATCAAGCAGCATTTGTATTTGTAAAACATGGCTTAAAGGACTTCGTGTTATTTTCAATCCAGAGGTTTGCTTTTAGTGATTTGCCAGAAATCTTTTAAAGAAAGGTTCCAAGTTGCTCGATAGACTATATTGTGCGAAGATTTCTAATTGTAAATTTAGAATAAGATGACAAAGCAAACGTTTCCTTCTTGGACGCTTTCTCAGAAGGCAGTCAGGTGGTGCTAGAGTACTACAGTGACAGTTTCTCCTAGTTTTTGCTACAGTTCTTACAGTCCTTTCTTTTCACCCTCTACAGCTGTGTCCTTCCTTTTTCCTCTTGTATATTTTCTTTCTGTCTTGTTAACTGGATTGTTTCCTCTCATAGGTTCTTTTTCAAGGTCTTTAACTTAAAATCTTTCATAAACATGAAGTATTTTTGTGTACATCTTTTTCAGTTATGCGCCCAAAAGACGCAAAAAGTCTAGTACATTTTATTCCTGAATGTACGTAGAACTTCAGAATAAAACCACCACTTTCTCAGTGCGTTTCCATTTTACTGTGCCAGCGCCATTTCTCATCTCCTCAGCCATCCTGCCCTTGAGCATACTCTCTAACAGAAATGGGAAGAAGACCCCAAAAGCAGCGGGTGAGGGTGGGAGCGGAACTGCTGTGCAGGGGAGAAATGGGGTGTTGGGTTCTCAGAAAGCAGGAGCATGATGGTGTCAGGTTGTTGCCATGACAATGAACCTGTTCACATCCACTTTGACTGTCTTAAGTGGTCTCTTCCCCAGGCGTGATAGTTTTTGGCCTAGATGGCCATTGAACAGATTCAGTATAATGCCGCCAGTTTTTACTGAACATTTATTCTGTTCAAAACATTCCCAAAGGCAATAGAAGATACAAATAAATCCCTGCCCATGAAAAGGTGTGGGAAATTAGAATGAGTTCTCTTAGGTGTAATGAGAGAAGAGAACGTAGTTTGAAGCTATGGATGAAGGGACTTGGATCCCAAGCTCAACAAGTTTGCACTTGAATAGTATTGGGGTGCTGCTGAAAACGTTTGAGCAAGATAATGACATAACCGAAGCTATTCTTAGGAGAATCTGAAAAAGTATGAATGAAAAAGAGACTGAATGTCTAGACTTTAGATTAAGAGGCTAATGACAAATTCCACATAAATAGTCAGGAGGAGCTGAAGGGAGGGGCACTGAGAATGGAGAGGACAGGCGGTAGTAAAAGGCATTCAGCGATGAGAGCGCACGCTACCCCCGCGTGAGGGAGGTGGGGGGGATAACGACAGGATGACAGCATCACTGACCACGTGTTCCAAATGAGCGGGGATCTTGTTGTGATCCCAGTCGGTGGTTTCATGGAGCATTTGACAGCCTAGGATTATATAAGGGGGACATCTCCCTGGAATATAAATTGACTAAGAATAATTCAGTAACCGTCAAATGAATGCAGTATTTTAGAGTCTTGCTTAGTATTCTACCCGCATTTTATTTAATCTACTCAAACACACTCATGCACTTTTTCTCTTACTGATAACACTAGATGGAGAAACTCTAAGTTAATTCAAAGTATTTCACAGAATGTGCCCGTTTTCAGTCATTCCTGTTTCCATTCCAGCCTACTGTGTTGGTTTTTGAAATAACTATTTAATATTCCTTTTGCAGGATGGCATAGTCAATCCAACAATAAGAAAAGATTTGAAAACTGTACCGAAATTCTACTGTTGTCCAATTGAAGGCTGCCCCAGAGGCCCTGACAGACCATTTTCTCAGTTTTCTCTCGTAAAACAGGTATTGTATACTTCCCTGAGGATGAGATGCAGATGCTATAAACCTATTGTGCATTCTGATTATTTAGCAAACATAACTACAGAATCGAATAGAAAGCTGCGTGTAAGAGGAGCTGCCCACACGTCTCCCACTTGGTATAAACCTGAGTGTGCTGTCACACAAGTGGACGGAAATGCGGCATGGTCTGGAGGGAATATGTCTAGAAGTGGGTTCAGAGAGAGAGGAGACCAGTTCAGCAAAGAATGTGAAAATATGTGCTGTCAGATCTCCTGTGTGAGTCTGCATACCTCCAAGGGCAGAGCACACAGACACAAAGGAACTGTTCTCCCAGGGGAATGGGAACCTGCAGAATCCAGTAAAAGAAGAGTTTTGGAGGCTGCTATCTTAGGAGGGAGGGCCCCAGTGACTGGGACAAGAGGTGATTCAGAACCAGAAGAGATTGGCACCTGAAATGTTCCCCCGAGGGTCAGCTGGAGGGTGTCCTAGCATTGCACTTACAGATCAGAGTGTAAATGCTGGAGTCCATAGACTGTTTCCAAAACAATCTGCTCACTTTTCACAAAGCAAAAGCAACAAGAGGCGGCAAATACAGAATACACTGCAGTGTGCCTGCTTTTAGATTCCTGACTTGGACTGCTATATTTTATATGTGATTTATATTAACAGGGTAAAATCATTGTTAACGTGGGTGCGATGATGGTTTTGGAAATGCTTTGATCAGTTGCTGTTTTTCATCTTAGTCCCTTCTGTGTCCTTGATAGCACTTTATGAAAATGCATGCTGAGAAGAAGCACAAATGTAGTAAGTGCAGCAATTCGTATGGTACAGAATGGGACTTGAAAAGACACGCAGAGGACTGTGGCAAGACCTTCCGGTGCACATGTGGCTGTCCCTACGCCAGTAGAACGGCACTGCAGTCTCACATCTACCGAACTGGCCACGAGATCCCTGCAGAACACAGGTGAAAGAAAGAGATGATGACACACAAGTCAGTAGCTCTGGGAAGCATTTCAGATGAAACATCGGGAGACCCAGTGGTGTGGGGAGAAAAAAGGAATCTTAGGAAACATGTGACGTGGAAGAAGGAAGCTTCTGAACATGGCAGCAGATCTTGCAAGTAACCCATGTCTGGGCCTGAAATCTTGACCCAATTGTTCCTCCTATTTTTTCCTGCTACCCTCCTTTGAGAGTCCCTTGTTATTTCCATTTGAAAATCTCAACTGCCAGAATTTTCTATTAGAGGGAACCAGACTGCCAAAGAGTCAGTTGTATCATGAAACTGTACTTCATTTGAAGTTCAAATTTACATTTGGTGTGGTAGCTTCCTGCCTTAGAAATGAGAAAACTTACCTTAAATTATTTTTTAAAAAAGAAAAAAATGGCCGGGCGCGGTGGCTCAAGCCTGTAATCCCAGCACTTTGGGAGGCCGAGGCAGGTGGATCACGAGGTCAAGAGATCGAGACCATCCTGGTCAACATGGTGAAACCCCGTCTCTACTAAAAACACAAAAAATTAGCTGGGCATGGTGGCGCGTGCCTGTAATCCCAGCTACTCAGGAGGCTGAGGCAGGAGAAGTGCCTGAACCCAGGAGGCGGAGGTTGCGGTGAGCCGAGATCACGCCATTGCACTCCAGCCTGGGTAACAAGAGCGAAACTCCATCTCAAAAAAAAAAAAAAAAAAGAAAAAAATGCGAAAACTTGCATTAAGTAAGTCTTTTAGCTTCTGTTGGCTTAAGGAGCTGAGTTGAGTTCTAGTACTTAGAGCTTAACCAAGAAAAACGTATGCTTCCTCCTTCCCTGTGTGCGTGTTTCTGAACATCCACGTGCCATAAGAGGTCCAATTCCCAGAGTTACAAAAGAAGGGATTTATCTTGTCTAGGTTGAATATGACCGCTACTATAAATGTGGGAAATGACATTTGTAAGTGAAGATACAGTGTCATGGTCAAAGAAAGCTGTATTTTAAGGTTTCTTCTTTGCTCTGTCATTGTTTTCAGGGATCCGCCTAGTAAAAAAAGGAAAATGGAAAACTGCTTGCAAAACCAGAAGGTATCCAATAAGACCATTGAATCATCGAACAACCAGCCGGTCCCTAGACCAGACACGCAAGAACTAGAAGCTTCAGAAATAAAGCTAGAACCATCTTTTGAAGACTCCTGTGGCTCTAACACTGAAAAGCAGACTCTTACAACACCACCAAGATATCCTCAGAAGTTGCTTTTACCAAAACCAAAAGTGGCTTTGGTTAAACTACCAGTGATGCAGTTTTCTCTCATGCCTGTCTTCGTGCCTACAGCCGACTCCCCAGCCCAGCCCGTGGTGGTAGGTGTGGATCAGGGCTCTGCCACAGGGGCTGTGCACTTGCTGCCCTTGTCAGTAGGAACCCTGATCCTTGGCCTAGATTCAGAGGCTTGCTCTCTTAAGGAAAGCCTACCTCTTTTCAGAACTGCTCATCCTGTTGCTCTTGAGCCCATAAGCACAGGCGTTCAAGTGAACTTGGGTAAAAGTCCATCGGCTCCTTTACAAGAACTAGGGAACACATGTCAAAAGAACAGCATTTCTTCCATCAATGTGCAGACAGATCTGTCTTATGCCTCACAAAACAACTTTATACCTTCTGCACAGTGGGCCAGCACTGATTCCTCTGTGTCATCTTGTTCCCAAACTGATTTGTCGTTTGATTCTCAAGTGTCTCTTCCCATTAGTGTTCACACTCAGACATTTTTGCCCAGCTCTAAGGTAACTTCCTCTATAGCCGCTCAGACTGATGCATTTATTGACCCCTGTTTCCAGTCAGGTGGGGTCTCCAGAGAAACTCAAACCAGTGGGATACAAAATCCAACGGATGACCATGTACAGATGGACCAAGCTGCTATGTGTGGAGACATTTTTGAGAGTGTTCATTCATCATATAATGTTGCTACAGGTAACATTATAAGTAACAATTTAGTAGCAGAGACAGTAACTCATAGTTTGTTACCTCAGAATGACCCTAAGGCTTTAAATCAAGTTATTGAGAAATCTGCACCAATTATAAACTTCGGTGCACAGAATAGTATGCTTCCTTCACAGAACATGACAGATAATCAGACCCAAACCATGGATTTATTCTGTGATCTGGAAAACATCTTGTCAAGTAATCTGCCTGCTCAGACACTGGATCATCGTAGTCTTTTGTCTGACACAAATCCTGGACCTGACACGCAGCTTCCATCTGGCCCAGCCCAGAATCCTGGAATTGATTTTGACATTGAAGAGTTCTTTTCAGCCTCAAATATCCAGACTCAAACTGAAGAGAGTGAACTTAGCACCATGAACCCTGAGCCAGTCTTGGAGTCACTGGACATAGAGACTCAAACGGACTTCCTACTGGCCGATACCTCTGCTCAGTCGTACGGGTGTAGGGGAAATTCTAACTTCTTAGGCCTTGAGATGTTTGACACACAGACACAGACAGACTTAAACTTCTTCTTAGACAGCAGCCCTCATCTGCCTCTGGGAAGTATTCTGAAACACTCCAGCTTTTCCATGAGTACTGATTCATCTGACACAGAGACCCAAACTGAAGGAATCTCCGCTGCTAAAAATATACCTGCTCTAGAAAGCAAAGTTCAGTTGAACAGTACAGAAACACAGACCATGAGTTCTGGGTTTGAAACCCTGGGGAGCTTGTTCTTCACCAGCAATGAAACTCAAACAGCAATGGACGACTTTCTTCTGGCTGATCTGGCCTGGAACACAATGGAGTCTCAGTTGAGCTCTGTAGAAACCCAGACCTCTGCTGAACCACACACAGCCTCCACCTTCTAAGACCAAAAGTGGAGTCCACTTGTGATACGGCATCTACCATTTCCTCTGGATTCAACTACAGAATGGGGACAGCAGTATTCTATTGAATGTAGTCGATGATGCAGTTGCTTAAGCTTCTTTGCCTTTTGTACTTGTAAACATGAAATTTGTGTATAAATGTGAGTCTGTTATAAAATGTGAGATGTTGATCTAAACTGTTTTTGTGTTGCTTACATTTGCCCTTTCACAGCTAGTCTTTTCATATTTAAAAGACATATTTCACATCTATAAAATATACATAGCCATTTAGCTGAAGCCAAGCTTACCAGGTTCAAGGGTACAAATTTCTCAAATCTTCTAAAACATTTTCGTCAAAGTGTAATGTACTTAACTTACGTTGCACCCAATATCTTTGACAGTGCTTGTTAGAAATTCCTGACTTCTGTTACTAATAACTAAAGAAACCTGATGCTGCCACCGTAGATTTAAGCAGTAGTGCTTCCACGCTCTTGGACTCCTGCTGCCTGTACCTTCATCAGCTCTGGCACCTCTTTACTGATTTAAAGACACCAAGGAAAACTATAGCTGTTTAGCTTTTTAAGCAGTTTTCATGTAATCAGTGCCACCTCTGCCCTACATGAGCTACTGTTGAGCACTTTACACACAAGGGTTATGATGTAAAATTACTGGCAAGGCAAAGAGCAGCAGGCCAGGCATGGTGGCTCACCCCTCTAATCCCAGCACTTTAGGAGGCTGAAGCGAGAGGATCACTTGAGTTCAGGAGTTCAACAGCTTGGGCAACCTAGGGAGACAGTGTCTCTAGAAAAAAAAAAAATTTAATTAGCCAGGCATAGTGGTATGCATCTGTGATCCCAGTTCCTTGGGAGGCTGAGGTGAGAGGATCACTTGAGGTTGAGGCTGCAGTGAGCCATGATCATGGCACTGTACTCTAACCTGGGTAACAGGGCAAGACCCTATCTCAAAAAAAAAAAAAAAAAAACACTTAGTGTAGTGTTCCTGCTAAAAGGATAAGATATCCAAACGATGGGAACAGAGAGTTGTGGAAATACGCCTATTACTTCATTTAGGGGTATACCCTATTAATATCCTTTCTGCTCTGCACAGTAGGCCAGAGTGGGGGGCTCTGGAGCTGTTTCCCAAAGTGCACCCACAGGCTGGATCTGAGTTTTGTCACTCTAAACATTAAAAAATAAAAAAGTGGGAAGAGAAAAGGGCATCCCCCATTAGGTTTCAATACTTTGCACTTAGTACTACTGAGTTTGATAGGGCAGGAGTGTAATCTACAATTATTTTAAAGTTGAATTTTTGTTGTATTCACCGTTCATCTTTTCCTTGAATAAGATAGATATTGGTCTAGCAAGGATATTACTTGTGCCTTGAGGCTAACAATTATAGGATAGATTCATCTAAAATATGGTATTCTGCATTTTTTTTGTTGTTTTTAAAGAGAATACCAAACAGTCTTCAAAGAATACAAAGAAAGTGAAGACCTATTGCTTCAGTAATCAGGAACATTTTCTGTGTTTTGAGGTGAGAGCATGATCAAGTATGCTTTGGGGATTTTCTGTATTTAGGAGATCCTGGATTCTTAATTGCTGGCTAACTTCCAGTCAAGTAGGAATAATGCAGCCTGTAAGTTGTCTGCATTCACACACACACACACACACACACACACACACACACACACACACAAATGCTGCTTTCTGTGGCACATGCCTGTGTTACTGAAAGCTAAATCCTCAAAATAAAACCTACTAAGGTGACTAATGATTCATTATTGATGGTTTTGCTACTAATTCCTATCCCATACATTTGTTACAAAAGAAAAGAAGTGCTGGTAAAGAACATATCCTGGGCAGATGAACTCCACCCAGTACGTAAGAGTTTGCTTTGGTCACAGTTGCCTATGAGTATGGATTTCAAAACAAACATAAAGCCTTAACTCAGAATTTCATTACATTTTAGAATCGTCACTGCCTTAATATTCAAGCATCTATTTAAGTCCTAATGAAGGGGAAATGCATGTTTATGGCTTTGTTGTAAATATAAATGCAGTGATCTATGGCTTAAAATTTTTTCTGTGTTTGTGACAATGTTTGTAAATCTAGTCAAGAGTTATTTACAGAAAAAACAGCATGTAATAATACAAAAACTGTTTCCCCCTCAAAAACCTAAACCTGAATTATTTGTAAAAACTGAAATTTAATGATTAAAGAGAAGCCAGAATTCTATCTTTTCTTGTGAATTCCTGAACCTACTCATGTCATTTTATTGCCATTTCACAAACTCATTGTCTTCTGAAAGCCATATGATAAAATGACTATTTCATCATACTCAGGCTCACACCTGTAATCCCCACACTTTGGGAGGCTGAGGCAGGTGGATCACCTGAGGTCAGGAGTTTGAGATGAGCCTGCCCAATATGGTGAAACCCCATCTCTACTAAAAATACAACAATTAGCCAGGTGTGGTGGCACGCAACTGTAATCCCAGCTACTCGGGAGACTGTGGCAGGAGACTCTTGAGCTCAGGAGGCAGAGGTTGCAGTAAGCTGAGATTGCAACACCACACTCCATCCTGGGTGGCAGAGTGAGACTCGTCTCAAAACAGCCAACAAAAAAGAAAATACTGGAGTATGTCAGGGGAGTGGTGGAGAACCTGTGACACACGGAGACTCCAATGGCCACAGAGAGAAGGGATTGAAAGACCCTGTTCTGCCAGCCCACCTCCTCAGTCAGGATCAGCTCAGAACCAAGACGGATTTCTGTCTGGGGAAGAGGAAGGCAGAAGGTCGCCACCAGGTCCCATTACCACCACAGACAGCTGTGGTCTTTGCTGCTGGAGAACCCTGCAGCTCTCTCAGGCCACCCTGAGCCTGGTTTAGAAAGTTGCCTGAGTTGACATGGCTGCATTACTGCAGAGAAGAAGGTGACCCAAGCTGCCACAGCATGGCACCATTTTCAAATTGGACCCACTGATAGCATCCTGCTATGGGGGACAGTAACCATGGCCTCTCCATCCCTGAGGCTCTGCCGTCATGACACCATGTTCACATACAGTAGTGCAGCATCCCCCAGCTGAGGTGCTACAGCTCCCTGCTCCTTGGGAACAAGCTGCCTGAGTGGTGCTCCATCTTACCCATCCCGGTGGCAGCACAGTCCTGAACTCAACTACTCAGAACCTAGGCTAGCAGAACAGCCATGACCCTAGCACCCAAGCCCATGCAGTGTCCTGCCTCCAAGAGAACAGGCAGTATTGCTCTGCAGGGAAGCCAAGCTCAAGCCAGTAGATCAGCCTCGCATCCATCCCCTCAGCATGCAAAAAGCCTGGTACCTCCTCCACAGAGGAGCCATATCCCACCTGGTATGGCAGCCACACAATCTCCTGCAGCCTAGGCCATTGAGGCCCTCGCAGGCATTGCTGACATTGATTACAGCTGAAGAACCTGAATGGAGACCACACTACTACTATACTCATGCAGAACCAAAGCCAATGTGCCTTACCCAACTGATGGTTAGGCCCCGTCTGCATGTTGAAACCTTTCCCTATGAAAGCAACTCTATAGAACTGGAAAATCAGCTGCATAGGAATCAACAAAGGGACACAAGAAGCATGAAAAAGCAAATATGACACCACCAGAGAAACACAATAATTCTCCAATAACTGACCCCCAAGTTAGATAGAAATTTATGAATTTCTTGAAAAGGAATTCAAAATAATTATCTTGAGGAAAACCAACAAGACACAGAGAATACAGGTAAGCAAAATAATTCTTGATCTGAATAAGAAATTCAAGAGAGATTGATATTTTTAAAAAAGAACCCAAACAGACATCTTGGATCTGAAGAATTCAACGAATGAAATAAAAAATACCATTGACAACTTCAACAACAGACTAGATCAAACAGAAAAAAAATAATTTCTTTCTTTCTTTTCTTTTTTTTTTTTTTTTGAGACAGAGTCGCCCTCTGTCACCCAGGCTGGAAAACACTGATACCATCTTGGTTCACTGCAACTTCCACCTCCTGGGTTCAAGTGATCCTGCCTCAGCCTCCTGAATATCTTGGATTACAGATGTTTGCCACCTCACCTGGCTAATTTTTGTATTTTTAGTAGAAAGGAGGTTTAACCATGTTGGCCAGTCTGGTCTTGAACCCCTGACCTCAGGTGATCTGTCTGCCTCAGCCTCCCAAAATGCTGGGATTATAGGCATGAGCCACTGCACCCAGCCAGAACAAAAAAAAAAAAAAAAAAGAATTTCTGAACTTGAAGACAGCTCTACTGAAATAACAACTTCAACAAGAATAAAGAGAGAATGAGAAAGAGTGCAGAAAGTCAACAAGACTTATGGGGACATCATTAAGTGAACAGATATTCACATTATGAGATTTTCAGAGAGAAATGGAGAAAGGCACAGAAAGCTTATTTAATGAAATAATAGCTGAAAATTTCCCAAGTCCTGGAAGAGATATGGACATCCAGATCCACGACACTCCAAGAATCCCAAATAGATTCAACCCAAAGAGGTCCTTTCAGAGGCACATTATAATCAAACTGTAAAATGTCAAAGACACAGGGTTTTAAAAGCAGCAAGAGAAAAGCATGAAATCATATATAAGGGACTCTCCATTACACTATCAACAGATTTCTCAGCAGAAACAGCCAGGAAAGAATGGAATGATACCGTCAATGTTCCAAAAACTGACACGCAAGAATACTGTACCCTGTCTTTTAGAAATGAGAGTAAAATAAAGTATATTTCAGACAAGCAAAAGCTGAAGAAATTCATCACCATTAGTCTGGCCTTACAAGAAATGCTATTGAAGTACTTCAACCAAAAGTAAAAGGATGATAATTACTTTCATCATTTTGTGTGTCATATGAAAACATATGACAGTATAAAACTCACTGGTAGAGGTAAATTCATAATCAAATTCAGAATGTACCATTACTCTAATGGTGGCATGTAAGTGAGATCTCCAGTATGAATAATAACTATGGCTACAATACATTGTTAAGGAATACACAATATAAAAAGATGTAAATTAAGACAAAATTATAAATTGTTGGGGGAAGGGCAAACATTTTTTCTATGAGTATCTGTACAGGACCAAAGTTTTTATCAACTTTAAAAAAGTCTACTGTAACTATAAGAGTTTTCATGTAAGCATCTTAGTAACCACACACACAAAAATTACATCAGATACACAAATGAGAAAGACAAAGGTATCCAAGTTTAGCACTG